GCAAAGTATCATTCTGTGTTTCCTCATTCCCCATTACAGAAAAGTGAATTAGTGTTGCTGGATCATTAACTACGCCTATAATTTTCATTGACAGGATTCATCCTCATGACTCTATACTCAGTTTATATAAACTTTAGAAAATTATTTATTAAAAGTAAAATCAGCCTTGAGTTGAGGTCAACTGCTGATGACCATAGGGAATATCAAGACAGTTTTCTTGAGAACTGTACCCAAAATGGTTTCCCATTGCCTTATTCCATGATGCTTTTCCAATGTCCAACATTCCTGGTCTCCAAAAACTAGCCAAACTCAAACCTATGTAGCTTCAGCTGCCAACTAGATGTGTGATTGTGAGGTTCTTGGTGCTCTCTGAGCTTGGTTGTTTTCTTGCAGACATTTCATCACCGAACTAGGTAACATCATCAGTGCTGATGCACTGATGGCGCTATCTGGTTAGGTAATGAAATGTCTGCAAGTAAACAACCAACTCAGAGAACACCAAGGACTCCACAGTTCAATCCTGAGCTACAAATATTCTCTTCTATCAGTTGTGTGATTCTCTATTACATTTCATGGGGAAGCCTAAAACATGCCTGTTAATCAAATCAGATTTGACTGTTAAAAAACCTCAAATTCTACAGGACCTTAAATTCTACTATTTGGAAGGAAAACAACTTAGACTTCAAAAAGAAGACTTAAGAAAAGTTTTTCTCTTATAAAATCTCAGGAAAGGTATTCAAAAGGAGTGGGGGTTTTGGGAGGGAGGTGTCTTTTAAACACTTTTCCCCTATTTTATTATGATTTAACAAAATTGCTCCTGACAGCATGTTTTTTTGAGTTATCCCAAAGGAAAAAGCAATAAGGCACCAAGAAATGACACCTCAGAAACCACAACTGAGCCCAAAATGTATGTTGTTAAACAAGGCCGTTGTTAAGTGAGTTGTATGTTATTTTACAACCTTATTTGCCACAATTGTTACACAAATCACTGAAGTTGTTAAGTGAATCATGGGGTCATTAATTGAATCTGGGTTTCCTCATTAACTTTGCTTGTCGGAAGCTGGCCAATGGAGATCACATAATTCCAGGACAATGCAACCATTGTAAATACATGCCAGATGTCAAATGACTGAATTTTAATCCTGTGATCCTGGGGATACAACAGTCGTAAGTGTGAAAACCGGTCATACGTCACTTTTTCCAGGGCCATTGTAACTTCGAACAGTCACTGAACAAATGGCTGTTAGTCGAGGACTATCTGTTAATACTGGTTTCACATTCTTATTCAAGGCATGGCCCAATTTACTATAAAGCAAATTTTAAAAAATTTATAATCTTTTCAAAACCCTACTTTATATTTGACCTGTATTTGGAGGCCTGTTAAAGAAACCTTATCCTGCAGAGTTGATGGTTATGACATTACTTTTCCTATCACTATCAGCAATTATCTTTCAGGATAAATTCTCAATCCTTGTTGTTCAGCATGATGACCCCCTTCTCATATCCCTTCCCTACTTATTGCTCAAAAGGAATTCAGTCCAATTTCCTATGTACCCTAGCTAGGAAGTAAGATATAAGTTGCCCCATTCTGATTGGCCTTTATACCAATTAATCCATTTCTCTCCATTTTCCACATTAGAACATGAACTTAGGAATCTGCAATCTTTGTGTTCCTCTTGAGCAATTAATCATCTCCTTCCTGAAATTTTATTTTCAATAGAGGCTAAAGCATATAAAGAATGGTTGCTAGAACTGGATATGTCTAGTTTAATGAAAAGAAAAACTAGGGGTGACATGACAGCAGGGTTCCAATATTTGAGAAGTTACCACGAAGAAGAGGGAGTCATGCCATTCTCCAAAGCACCTGAAGGCAGGACAAGAAGCAATGGAAGGAAACCAATCAAGAAGAGAAGCAACCTAAAACTAAGGAGAATTTTCCTGATAGAACAATTAATCAGTGGAACAACTTGCCTCCAGAAGTTATGGATGCTCCAACACTGGAAGTTTTTAAGAAGAGATTGAACAACCATTTGCCTGAAATGATATAGGGCAGTGGTTCTCAAGCTTTCTAATGCCGCAACCCCATAATACAGTTCCCCATGTTGTGGTGACCCCCAACCACTTATACATCACCGGGTGCCAGGGGCGTGGCCAAAGAAAAGGGGGAAAAGTGGCAGACAGCCTTGTTTGGTGACCCCCGTGAATGGTCGTTCGACCCCAAATGGGGTCCCGACCCATAGGTTGAGAACTACTGGTATAGGGGTTTCTGCCTGAACAGGGGTTGGGCTAGAAGACCTCCATGGTCCCTTCCAACTCTGTTATTCTGATTTTGTTCTCAGAAGATTATGTCAAGTTTCCATTTCATGTCTCTGTAAACCTTATTCTCCACTTTTAGCTTCAAATATTTCCGTTGTTCTTTTGTTCTGCAAGGCTTTCTATCCTTCTTCCAATTATACTTCAGCTGGCCCTAGGACCCAAGGAAGCTTTTTCTTGTCATAAATCAGGTCATCTATGCAACAGCAAAAATAAACTTTCCAACACTTTGTATAATCATGATTATTTTTACTGTTTGCTTACTGAACCATCACAGTGTTGAGTACATAATATACTAGAAACGGCCTGAAACTACCCATATGTTTCAGTCAGAGAAAAATGAAACAGCAGGAGAGAGAGAGAGAAAGGGATGTTACTCTACAAAAATTCCAGATGGAGCATATCGGATTGAAAGGTATGTTTTCCCTTATACTGCTGCTTTACTTTTTTTTTCTGTGAAAGTAAACAGCTGTTTGTTTATAGAGCTGAAAATTAAGGTGTGAATTCAGAGAGAACATTAAAAAGATGGCAACATTTGTTCCTTCACCTTGCATTTATCTTCCTAGACCCATACTGGTCGCTCTTTCTTGGTCACATAAGGTGCTTAAGTTATTCATTCAAATATGATGTAAATTTAGTTTCAAAATAGAATAGTTTTCTAAAGAATCCATATTAATTTAAGGAGTTGTAATGCAGAGTACAAAACTGGCATGCATGCAATCTTTTGCCTTCTAACTGCTCAGCAGAGGTCCAGCCTCAATTCTTGAGAAATCCAAATAATTAGTGAAATAAATAAGATAGAATAAATGGCATTGGTTAAAAGGACTGAAAAAAAATATTTAGAATAGAATAGAATATTATTATTTATATGATACTGCAAAGCAGGTTGCAAAAAAGGGAAATGTTTATGATTGTTCTACATTTTTATCAATTTTCAGTACACAGATACAAAAGTACTGTACTACTCTCATTTTAGCAAGTAAATACAGATTTTATAGACGATAACTCTATGTAAAGAACCTATACATTAACAATATAACATTTGAGGCAAATCCTTCTATTATTAAAAAAAAGAAAAGGCATAATGGTTTACTATCTTAGCACTGTGTTCTTTCCTCCCCAAATTTTAGCATGAAATTTGGTAGAAATAGGATTTCTTCTGGAATTCAGTTCCATTTACAATGGACATTGTATATTTCAGGAAAAAAGTTAGTATTTGAAATTTCAGAATTGTGATATAAAATCTGAGAATCACAACACCAAAAAATCCGTTTAGATCATTGTCCACTCTCCTGCTTACGGTAGTACAGGAATCCAAATTAAAGCATTCAAAACAGATGATCCTCTAACCACATCCAACAAAGCTAGGTGTATTCTAGGTAATTGGTATTATTATGACATACTATGTCAAATGCTTCGCTAAATCAAAATATATTGTGCATTTAACATTCCCTCAATCTATTACAACAGCTACCCAATAAAAATAAATGATTAGGTTAGTCTGGCAAAATTTTCTATTTGACACTCTCCAGCCATTTACTACGTTGTTTTTCCAGTTTCTTACATACAGTAGTTCTGCTCAATATTAATCTCAAACTATCTGGTCTATAGTTTGCTGGGTTATCCTCTTACCCTTTTTGAAGACAGGGACAATATTTGCTCTCTTCTAGTGATTTGCCTCCCTAAGGTTTTTCAACATTTGAATTAGACTCAATTCATCTGGTCCTGGAGAATCAAACTAATTCAAAGAAATGGTGTATTTTCTGGCCATCTTTCTATTAGTCTCAAGCTTCAATTCTGCTCATCCTACTTTTTCACAGCTTCTTGCTTGAATACTAATTTTTTTTTATTCCAGAAGTCTAAATCAAAATAAAAAACACATACTTCTGTCCCTTCTGTTAGTCTTTTACCACTAGCTTATACTGATACTTTTTCCTTACTTTTGTTTTTAACATGTTTAAAAGAAGTCCTTTTGAGTTTTCCTCAGCATAATTCTTTAACTTCTGCTTATTTTCAGTTTTTGTTTTTGTGAAACCAGTGCTATAAAATTACAAATCATGTTTTCTTTTCTATCTGAGAAGCTCAAGCTCACCTTATCCATATGTCACATTGTATGTTTATAAAATGAAAGACATGAAGTTAGCTAATATTTTTTTCTGATTTTTCAACAGCGTTAAATACCAAGTTATTATTAGACAAATACCGTTTAAGTATAAAATGGTTTCACATATGTAGTGTACACATATGAAACCAACATTTTAAAATTAAGAACGAAGCCTGAGGAGCTTTTAACCCAGTCTTGCACTTCTGCTGCTTGATAATATACAAAGATGATGTCAGCAACATGTAACAGTTGTAAGTCAGATGTATCATGAAAAATTGTTTATGGATCCAACAAATAAATAAAAATTAAGGAATGCTGCCAAAACATAATGAACACAGAACAGTATCGCATAAACAAAAATCCACTTCCATAAAGAGAGTCCTTCTTTTCTACTTATCCCACCATAGTCACTAAAGCCAGATCTGGAGAGCTGAAACTGTTGGAACAGTTTTAGAAACAGAATGGAACAGAATGTGCAGGAGAACAAAAGAATGCCTGCCTCAAATCTAATGTAAGAAAACCATTAATTTCTACCTTGTACGTTTAGCTGGGATACATTTGCTTGTTAAGGATGTAAGCATACCTGATAGTCTAAAATGCTGAATCCTAAACCTATTTTTGTATCTTTGACAAGGACAATGCCTTGGACTTCAGAAGACCATAGTGCTAATTCCACATCTTCATCTTCTGCTAGTTCCACATCTTCATCTTCCTGCTTTTCCTCTGGATTTTCAAGTTTCACCTAAAACAAAATAGAACATGCTTTTTCTACTGGTAAAATGCACCTAGTATATACAAAGCAAAAAGGTCATTTAGATTGGAATTTAAATCTATATACTACTAATATTCTAGTTGTCATAATCTTTTAACTGAGTAAAATGGTGCAATGTAGGACAACAATTTTTGAACCAAGGTACTTTTGTACACAAAATGTGTCCAAAATTTGGGACTCATGAGGGAATGAAATTTGGGGAAGCTGTTGCTGCTTTGGTGCTTCTGGCTGCTGGGCTGCAGCTGCAGTCACATGATCTTTATTTTCAACATTCTGTAACAGTTTCTCAGCCAGCCTCGCAATCCTTCCCTCTCCCCCATCCAGCAGCAGCCACTTTCCTATGGGATGGGATGGGAAAGGAATTTTTGATGCTCCCTGCCAAATTCCCACAAGGAAGCTTAATGGGAAAGCTTGCAGGAATTGGGAAGTTGCTCCTATGTCCACTGTTTTTTTTGGGGGGAAGGGGGTTGTATCTGACCTTGGTCATTGTGTTTCTCTGTTTAGGTAAAGAAACATGCCCCCATGAAGCAGGGTTGCCTAATGATTTCATAAAATTACATATTGGCCATAGGTGTTTTATGCAAAGATGAAAGAATGTGTACAATGTATTCTCAGTTGATATTTTTAAAATGATTAACAGCAGAAATGGACATTTATGAAGTATCTTTTCATCAGTTAAAATGGTATTTTGTTTACTGATACACTACCTAAATTGGGAAACCTAAAGCACATATTTATTTTACAATGGAAATAGTAAAAATCAATATTTGGGATGTCTAGAAATTTTAATAGCTAAAACTATAATCTTCCAGGTACCATCAATTTCTTTGTTCACAAGATGGAAGCAATCAGCTAATGGAGAATTCAAAGATTAGGTATAATTCAAACTTTTGCTCCTTTATTAAACTGTAGAAAGATGAATGGGATGTACATTGTCAGCATGTCCTTGCATTGATTTACATACTTGGTATCATTAGTACAATGATGTTTCTAGCTACCTGCCTAGATAAGCCACTAGGAATTTCCAATTACATTAAAAGTAGTAAAGCCAGGAGCATGAAATATTTCTGCATGAAGATACGCTTTCTGAACTACAAGGACAAGTTTAGAATTCCGAAGAACATACTTAGCACCATCACATTTTGGAATTTGAAGTTCAAAAATGTTCCATTTTAATTAGCTCCCACTTGGGAAAACTAAAACAGGTAGGCTAGTCATTATTGCCCTACACAAATAAGATATTTTAAATGTTATTACTTCTTGATGGGATACATGAGCACAATGCCTACAGCTGGAATATGAGATGGTTGATTATTCCTTCTAGAAGTAGGCCCTTAAACATATGGGAATTATCTTCCCCAAAGTTTCTTCACTGAGGTAAAAATTCTGCCTGAAGAGCAGAACTTAGTACTTCATCTTAGTACTTAGTACTTCATCTTAGTACTAAGTTAGAATCCTGCTCCGGATTCTAACTTAGGTGCTCAGAATATTCAAATATAGCATAAATATAGCAGACATCTTCATATCTAACTGGAATGTCCTTTAGATTATTTTACAAGAATTAATGTAGAAATCAGATTTTAACTACTTTGGTTTTTCCTTCAGCTTCTTTAAATATCAGAACAGATGGTGTAAACTGTAGACAGCTAAATCACAAGTCAGAAGGATTAGAAATTTGGATCTATGGCTGTAGATTGTGGAGTGCTATTCAACAATCTGGTATCAAGATCCAGTGTTATCTGCAGGTACATTCATCAACTTATATCATGGATGAAGCATCATAAACTTTGAGCATTGTGTGCTATAATATAACACTGCTCACCATTTTCCATTCCAATACTGTTTATTAGAGTACTGTATTACAATATTTCACTAAATATGATAATAAAAGATAGAATTTAATCATTTACAAGGTAACAGTGACGTTTCCGCTGCTACATTCCTAATAGTATCAGCTATAATGAACCATTTAAAGAAAAGAAAGCAATATGCTAATGAATATGCACATTTCAACATTCCCATAATAAAAACTTTAAAAGACAGATGAAGCAGAGCATTTTCTATCATAATGTGGCTACGAATTTTATTTTTAAAAAAACATGACATTCTGAGTGGTAGGAAAATGGCTTACGAATCACTCACATTCATTATTTATAATGAAAATTAAATGCAAAGTAACCAATACTGAAAGCAGTAGCAGAGTCAATTAATAATCTTTGGGAAATCCTTGGAAACATGCCAAAGGTTTTGTTTTTTTTTTAAAAAATACCTTTGGTTCTAGAGAATGATCAATGGTGGCTGTGGGCTCATCCACAAAAGATTCTGTGTCATCATCAAACAAACGCCGGCAACAAATCAAAGTAAATGGAGGAGGAACTTCTTTCAGAAAAGAAACAGCTTCACGGCGGGATTTCCCATAGAGCTGGACACCGTTTACCTAAGGAGAGAAAGGACACCATTCCTAAGTTGACCAATACTTTAAAACTATTTGGGTTTATCATAAATTTTGACTGCTTACTTTATAATGTTTCAATGATAGGCAAGTGAGATTCCCCGTGCTCAATGTACATGTAGATGGACTTCATTTACAATTCCAACTCTCTCTCTCTCTCTCTCCCTCTTTCTCTCTCTCTCTCTCACACACACACAAAAGACAACACCATTTTCTGGAAGCTGATAACTTCCTTAAACCACTAAAACAATCAACTGTATTTATTTAGTTTTACTTGATCTCCATGGCCTTTCTACTCTCATTTCCTATTTTACTGAAACTCTTCAAATATTCTTGCACTAGGATATCCTTCAGTCCAAGCCAGCATTGGGAACAGTAAAGATTGCTAGGAATTGTAGTTCAGCAGCATGTGAAGGGACACTGGTGAACTGTTAAGGTTTTACTCTATGAATATTCCCCTTCTTATCATTTGTTTTCTAGTTCTTTCTACAAATTGAATTTCTTCATGTCAGGGTAGGTCTTGTTAGTTCTACTGCTCCCAGTCTCATAGTTTTGTGGCTCATAAAATCCACAATGACTTGTAAAAAATGTAAACTGATTTGTAGGACAACCAACAGAAAAGGTGTAAGGTAGAGAGAGTTACCTGCTAGTTACCTGCTAACCTCAAATTGGTTTTGGTAACAGTGTTTCTGTCAGTAACTATTAACAGTGTTAATAGTTACTGAAAATCTGTAAATGAGTCCATCTATATTTTACTTGGAGTAGTTATCCATTTTATATTAAAGAATAGTTCAACTCCATATTCTTAAAATACCACAGGTAAATGTACTGACTTCTTATTGCATTGTATATTGTGTATTCCTTCTACCGTGTTTTCCCGAAAATAAGACCCACCCAGAAAATAAACCCTAGCCCAATTTTTGGGGGTGTGCCTAATCCCTACCCCAAAAATAAGCCAGGGGGGTGGGCATGGCCAGCACAGGAGGTGGCAAGTGCACAGTGTCTGGCATCAGCCGCAGCCCGTGCAGCACAAATAAGTCACACGCAGAGGCAGAGGCACAGAGAGGAGGTAGGTGATCCGGATATGCTGCAAAGCTGCCAGGCTTGCAGGAGGCTCACGAGAGGCTTGTGTGCTGGCACTGGCAGCAGGTGGAAGCAGAGGCATGAGGGGGAGGCAGGCAATCTAGATCCGCTGCACGGCCGCCTGGCTCATGGGAGGCTCGGAGGAGGCTTGTGCAGTGGCACTGGCAACAGGTGGAAGTAGAGGCACATGGGGGGAAGCAGGTGATCCAGATGTGCTGCGCGACAGCCTGGCTCATGGGAGGCTTGCATGGCAGCACTGGCAGCAGGTGGAAGCATGGGGAGAAAGGCAGGTGATCTGGATGCGCTACGTGGCCACCTGGCTCATGGGAGACTTGCGGGAGGCTTGCGCAGTGGCACCCTCAGCAGCCAGAAGCAGAGGTACAGGGAGGAGGCGATCCTGACATGCTACCACTCTATCCCACCATCTCTCGACTTGCCCACAGTCGCGCCAAAACAGGTAGCCACACAGTGTGTCGGAATCGGCTGCCTCCCCCCATGTCTCTGCCTCCACGTTCAGACTTACCTGTGCTTCACTAAGAGGCCGGTGAGCTGCAGCTGCTGCCAGACACCATCAGCTGTGTACACGCTGCTTCTTGTGCACATGCCGTCGGAGCATCCGACTGGGCTGATCACCCTGAAACCATGTTTCCCTGAAAATAAGTCTTAATGTGTCTTTTGGTGCCAAAAATATATATATAGGACCGGATCTTATTTTCAGGGAAACACTGTAGAATGTGTTTGAGATTTTATAGAGTTTTTCCTCACAAAAGAAATCAAATTTTGTGTGCATATGGATGAATTGAGTAGCCATGATTAACTCAAGATTTAAATGGATTAATCCATATCAAGCTAGAAACTGGGAGAGTGTGAGTTCTAGTCCTGTCTTAGGCACAAAGCTAGCTGGGTTACTTGGGGCCAATCACTTTCTCTCAGCACTAGGAAGAAGGCAATAGCAAACCACTTCTGAAAAACCTTGCCAAGAAAACTACAGGGACTGGACCAGGCAATCTTCAGGAATTTGGACACAGTTGAATAGAAGGGGGGGGGGGATTTATTCATCAGTAGTTAATAGCCTCAGCTTTCAGAGAGACCTATCACTTATACAACATGCTTGTAAATTCTGTCACATTTGGAACTATTTCATATAACATGGCATATTGCTGACAGGCATTCAGACAACTACAGAACAACATTCATTCATATTCTGAGAAGTAGAATAGGTTGTGAGGATTTGGCACCAGGCCTCTGGTCTAATCTAACAATTTTTTGTTTGTTCATCGATTGAAATCATGAGTGAGGTTGAAAAACATGTGGATCATCAAAATGGATTCACTTCAATAAAGTTCCATTAAAAAGGAATACGTTTCTCTCTTTGGACATACAAGATATATCTTGACTCTTCTTCTGTGATACGGTTTTATTTAGGTCCTAGTCACAGGAGCTAAAATATGTGAAGCTTTTATCTTTTTGGTAGAATGAAATTAATCTACACAGAATTCTAATCTATTTTTTTACTAATCTTATTGTTGCTAACATTAACATTATAATATGAGGAGAAGGACTGTGTAATGTAAGTCGGTCAGTGACTTTGACAAATGGAATGCTAGATTGATTACTAGCATAATTAAGTAAATAGTTATTATAGAAACCTTTCAGTACTTACACAGCAGGTCTGTAGGAGGACATATGTTGGGGATGGAATTGAATAGCAAAGCCTATGCTATGCTGTAATAACCCCATTGTAAACTGGAGGGAGGAATTTCACATTTTAAAAATATTTTTTCCATTGACTTCAATGAGAGGAAAAGTATATTTCTGTAGGTTTTAAGGTATACTGCATTGGGACTGGAAAGTCTTTTCATGCTGCAGGTCAAATTGTTCTTCCAATCTACAGTATTTATTCTTTACTTCTATAGAGAACAGACTGTAAGTAAGGGAATAACCACACAAAAGTCCAGGCCATTTGGGAAGGGACATCTAAGTTTGATTCTATTTCAGCATACTCAAAAGAAAGAGAGCTCGACTGTCTTATAATCCCTTGATAATTTTCTTCTAGGGACATAGAATGGTAGTCCAGCTAATGTCAAGTCATACTAAATTAGAACTAAATGCATGCATGCGCACCCAGAAAAAGAGAGACAGCCAATCACCTATTAGGGTTTCTGTTTCAAATAATTGCTATAGGCTAACACTGAATAGAATAGAATAGAATAGAATAGAATAGAGCTGGAAGGGACCTTGGAGGTCTTCTAGAAAACTCAGTGTTACATTAAATAAGGCAATTGGGGAATGAAATTGAAATCATAAGCTCTGGATGTAAATGAAGATTTGGAATGAGTAACAGAAACAAATATTCCATCCGATATTTTGTATACTCATAAAAACATCTCCTATACAGAGGTGGGGACTTCCAATGGAAAGACACGTTGTACCCGTAGATGCTAAGGACTCTGGAAGATTTAATTTCTCAAACAAATCTCGCTATCCTAAAGTGCATTTTAATGCACCTCAAACATACATTCCATGATACAGTGTTATTAAAAATTGTACAGTATTTTTCATACAGCATACTATTTAAAAATTGTACCTCTAAAAGTTCATCCTCTAGTTGCAGTACGCCAAGTTTAGCAATTGGGCCATCTGTAGCAATGGAAGAGATGTAATGATGTCCTTCAAAAGTATCCAGTTCAACTCCGAGCCTTAATGTGTGAATAGGCAGCAGCTATTAAAAATAAATCACAAAAATAGTCAGATAGGAACATTTACAAAGAACGTGGATTAAATTCTGTAGCTCTGTGACATTCAAATGAACTGAATATTATTTTAATTTAGCAATGAGTTGAATTTGATTTACCATTTTTATTCTAATACTCCTTGATAAAAGGATAATGATGCCCACAAGTCCATCTCAATTCCTACTAATGCATCCATGCAATTTTCTGTAAAGAGTCACAGAAGTGCCATTGTCTTTGTTTTTGCCTTTGCCATTACTTTTTAAAAATTATTTCTGTTTTTCTTTTGTTGTTTTTCTTTTGTTTGCCAGTTTAACCAACAGCCCTTAAATCCCCAGATCGTCACACTTATAAAAATAATAGAGGGGTATGCATGGGTGGCCTGGACGTCATACAATCGCTAGGATTTGCCTATGAAAATATAAGTGGTCTTATGACAAACCAATGAAAGTGGGATTTTAAATGTTTTATGAGAGATATTTAACCAACAAAGACAAATAGAGTAACAGACTAAAAGCTGTTGTCAGCAAAATAAAAATGTTAGATTCGATAATTACTTCTCACCACTGTCTGACATACTGTACTTAAACAAATCAGGGAGAAAAGTACTAAATATTGTTTAAATAAGGCTTGAATTAATAAAATAAATGCACAAATTAATATGTAAATGAAGGGATAATGAATTTATTTATTTATTTATTTATTTATTTATTTATGAGACTTATATACCGCTTTAAGTGCAAGCACTCTCTAAGCGGTGTACACCAGTAAGCAATGTATATATATATTTACATTGCCCCCAACAATCTGGGTCCTCATTTTACCTACCCCGGAAGGATGGAAGGCTGAGTCAACCTTGAGCCGGTGAGATTTGAACCGCTGACCTGCTGAACACAGTCAGCTAAAGTGGCCTGCAGTACTGCACTCTAACTGCTGCGCCAACTTTAAAGTCCAACTTTAAAAAACAAGAATTATTAAAAAAAACAAGAATTTCAATTTCAAAGATGCATTTCTACCGAGCAAAAGAGCCAAGTTGAGCTGGATACATGCATTAGCATGCAGATAATTGTAGAGACTGAATTTTCTAGAATTCAGAATTATTACTGCATATAGCATTGCAAGTTAATGTTGTCTTCAAGCAAGGTTTGATTTACAGAAGATCTCTTAAAAGGTTTCTTCTTAGGTATATTAACTACATTTCTTTTTAGTGCCAATCCTAAACAATGGATATCCCAGGGAAGGTCTACAAAGCATTTTAACAAGCAAAGCTGAAAAATATATTTGCGAAAACTAAGTAGTTTCTCGAATAAATTCATGCCCGCATAACAGCAGCACAAAAACAGTAAGATGTGCAAAGTGTCAAAAACATTGCTATCATATGATTCACATCCATTCCTGTTTCCATTGCTAGCATGTCACATGAGTGTTAAAAAGAAAAAAAAAGACTCAATACCTTTGAATATTTTTGTAGTTCGGCATCATCTGCAATTGGTGTATCTATTGTGACAACCTAAAAATCAAATTACAAAAAGGCTTCATGGGTACAACAAAGAGCTACTTGAAAACTGAAAGAAATTGACTAAAATATATTGCAAATACATTACTGGAACAAGTGAGAGATTGAAGTACTAGAAATATAGTCATGTTGCTTATTAAATCATCTAAAGTTTGGACTGAGAGAAGTAAACCTTAATCGAGTCTTCAGAAACAGGTTTAATTATTGAGAAGACTCATTGTGTATTAATGGTCACATTTCTATAATTCAGTTTATTTAAATTATTTGCTATGTACTAAGGCTGGCTGGGAAATTCTGGGAGCTGAAGTCCACACCTCTTAAAGTTGTTGAGGTTGCGAAACACTTTACTAAACTGTTAACCCTCTGCTCAAAAAGCAAACATTCTCATTTAAGGTCTCATTTTTTGAAAACAATGAAAATAATAAATTCCCAATAATTTAATGATAACATACCATAACTTCATAATCAGGTCCCAGCAGTGTTTCCCATTTGGATGTTGGCTTATTTTCTGATAAGTCCGAGGTGTTCCCTAAATTACAATTATTATTATAAGGCAGTTGTTAGGACTGCACATTGTTTACTTACATTTTGGCAAAGCATAAAGCATTCTAAACTGATAGCCCTTCTATAAAAATACATATAAAAATTCACCCCAAGAACAGTTCAGTCTCCTATTTGCATCAAATCTTTCTTCAAGATGTCTTCAAGATCTTTCTTCAAGAAAGATTCATACCATCAATATCATGACTAAATATATCTTACGAATTATTCCCCATTTTAAACACATGATTGTTTTTAGCTCACAATATTAGCATAATAAAGTAGAAATATTAAAGTTTAGTACAGTAAGTGAAGTAATAATCCATTTTGTAAATCACAATTTGTACTTTTTGTTTGAAAAATGTTTCCAGAGTTTGAATGGACATTAAATTGGCAGTGTTTTCATTACTGATATTATAGTTAAGAGTTTGTCAGCATTTCCAATACCACTGTCTATTTTTAGAATTTAATCTGGTTATTAAATTCTGCTCCAGGATGAATTTTTACAGACAGTATTTTAAAATCATCTGTGTTTTTTAAAAAATGGCTATTATTAATTTTTAAACAGGAAAGATAGATCAATGTATTTACCACTGAAAATACATTTTATAATTCCTTTAGCCTAATTAGGTTTGTACTTTTTTGTAGGAAAGAACAAAAAGACATACTGCTATAGAATTGCATGCCACACACAGGCTACTTAATTTGCTCTTGTCCCATTCTCATTTGAGTATAAATGCCCAAATACGATAAAATTTTGATATTATTCCAAGTCATTACAACTTGGAGCATCAAATAAGAAGAAAGCTTTGTTAATATATATAAAATCTATTTAGTTCAGCTTTCTTCTTTCTGTCCATCTAAAGAACTGTGTATTTCACTATGAATAGAAACATGTTTGACTTTAGCATCTGAATTTTAGTTTTTGAAAAATGTAGAACAAGTGATTATCTTGTTACTTCTCTACCCCAAGCTTCAGCCTGTATCTAATGGGAATTATTCTGTATGGCACTGCCACTCTCCATATAAAGGCAAACCATAGATATATGTAGTTCTAGACTTCCAACCATAAATGAACCTGGCAATTAGGAAGTAAGTCATGACAGTTGTAAAGTGGCGCCTATGGAGATTCTCACTCATTATTATGAAAAGGGTCAAAGAGGCCATCTATATCAAAACTGAACAGCCCTCTCTCAACAAAGGGGAGGGATACGACATTATCTATCTCCAGTCTCCGACACACTGTCCTTCCAGCAGTTCCAAGAAAGCTCCACATTCATTTGCATTGTTCAGATGACTCTGACAACACAGATAAACCTCCAGGTAGCTGCAAGGACTCTCTAAAACAGGGGTGTCAAACTCGCAACGTCACATGACGTGTCACGATGTATCGTGACTTTTTTTCCATTGCCAGCAATGGGGTGGGTGCGGTTTCAGCATGACGCATCCAGCCCGTGGGCCAGCAGTTTGATACCTCTCCTCTAAAAGAATGCAAATGACCAGCTGTCTGCCTGCAAGAAATATAAATCCTTCCATTCCCCACCATCCAGTCAGAACTGAAGAAGCTTCTTGGATGAGAAGCGAAATGTCTTCAAAGAAAAATAAGAAAGTCCAGTTGCTTCGTGAAAAAGCATCTTTGGGACAAATTGTAAAGTGGTGGTTGTTAAAACAACTCATTGTTTGCTGCGGGCAATTTTTTGTCAGAAACTGGAAATACAGAGTTTGGGCAAAACATCATAACTCATGGTCACATGACCAGGGGACATTGCAAATGACCAATAATGCAGGCCGACTGCTGAGCACCAAAAATGCAATCACATAACCATGGGACGTATTGGCTGTGAAAACTTAGTATCAGGTTGCAAGTAGCTTTTATTTGCTTTATTTATCCAAGAGTAGGTGGTCTTTATTTATATTGCTGCATTTTATATATAGAACATAGAACAAAGAAGGCTTGGAAGGGACCTTGGAGGTCTTCTAGTCTAACCCCCTGGTTGTGCAGGACACCTTATACCAGTGGTTCTCAACCTGTGGGTCGGGACCCCATTTGGGGTCGAACGACCATTTCAAGGGGGTCGCCAAACAACGCAGTCCGCCATTTTTTTCCCCTTTTCCTTAGCTGCGCTACTCCCTTTTATTCTATTGGCTTTTGAAAGCCAATAAAATAGACTCTCTTGAATAGAGTCTAATTCTATTGGCTTTCAAAAGCCAATAGGAATTGTCCAGGCTGTCTCTGCCCTGCTGAGCCCGCCAAAAGTCCCATTCTGCAAACGGTGCTGCACCAGTTGAGTAGTCCTCAACTTACGACTGATTGAGTAGTCCTCAACTTACGACCGGTTGGGGGTCGCGGCATTAAAAAGGTTGAGAACCACTGCCTTATACCATTCCAGACTGGTTGTCCAATCTCTTTTTCATAAGCTGGCAATAAAAATTATTCATATTTAGAAATATCAGTGTTAAGAGAATATTAACTTTTTATTCTATACAGTTCATCTGAGATTGATGAGGTCTGCTCACTCTTTTTTGCAATTAATTGGATGCTTTCAAAATTATCCTTTAAAAATAATTTTTAGTATTAAATTCAAGGTAATGTTATAAAGAAGTTGATACAAAGGAGGCAGATATTCCAAGTCAGTTGGGGTCTAGCACTCACTGGTCCACAATCTCCCCTAAAATGGGATTCTCCATTGCTGCTGCGACTCTCTCTTTATCATTGATTTGTTTGGTGATGTCTTCCTCAATAGAATGAGGCCCCTCTGATATTTGTTAGAATTCTATCGTCCCTTTCTTTCAAATGCTCAAGGCAACATTTATTGTATTTCCTCCTCTAATTCTCTCAGGCTACCTCAGGCTAAAACTCACCAAATGAGCTTTTGTGTCTAAAGATGTTCTGATCTCCTTAGTTCTAATTCAAGACCTTAACCTGTACATTGTACTGTACTTCATTTCAATACTCCAAAAATTCAAATGGCTTTTGTAAAAACCCCTCTTAGTATTTCCCCACAACAAGTCTGTCGACTGGCCCAAGTTCATTAAGAAGTAAACAAAATTAATATCCTTACAGATTGCATGCCAGATATCTCATTCCTTTTCTGGCATTTTGTTATCTTAGAAGCAAAAGATCCAAATGACTAGATAATTTTAATAAAATTGAAGCATATCACTATCAGAATTAGAGCTAATTGTTCTCAATTCTGGTCTCTTTTAATGTATTGCTTCTTTATGAAATGTTACAGTGGGTAATCCTTAGTTGTTATTTACGCAATAATAATTTTGAAGCAATAACCTGGCAAAAAGGTTATTTTCCAATAGAGTGTTTGACTTACCAATTTCATGTTGCTTTTGATTCCTTTCATTTTCAGTGTTGTCTTTTTGCTCTTGAGGTTCCTCATTTTCACTATCGGTTTCTACACCAGTCAAGTTGAGCCCTGGAAAAGTTCCCAAAGCATCCCATCACTTCTGTAATCAGGCAAAGACGTCTAAAACAGGTCTGAATTGATATGACATTAAACCTTCCACATTATTCCAAATGTCCCTATTATCAAATCTCAAGTCCTCAGCTGATATTCAAACTAGTAAAGTCATAGGCTTCTCCATTTCCATTATCCCAAAAACATCTTCAAAACGTAAAAGGAATATCAAAAACTGAACAATGACTGAACTATTCTAGCTTTCTAACTGACTTCCCTTACACCTTAAATCTTTTCTGGGAGGATTGAAGGTCTGAGAGCAGTCTTTGAAAGAAGGGAATTTGAAGGGAATTTGTATGGATTTCATCCAGTGTCAGATCTGAAGGAGAATATCTCTGTTCTCAGGCTACTAAAAATGTTCCATAATCATTTAATCTGCCTTTCCTCAGCTTATAATAATGATAAAAAAACAAAAACAAATTAAGCACCATAGAATTTTAGAAAACAAATAAGGTCTGAAAAATAGCATTGGTTAGAAAGTGTAACTGAAGGTGGAGCAGAAACAACAACAACAAAATAGATGTACTACGGTTTGCTTTACAAGCCAATAGAGGATAAACCCTGTAGACGTCTAGAATAAAATTCAATCATCTGTTTTTTAGTTTCACATTTTGCACCCAAAATATAGCAAATATTATCCTTTGGTTGCAATTATTGCCACCTCTTTGGGGACATGTGGATAGCAACACCTGTAAAAAATAAAATGGGGTAAGAGTGAAAATTTGATCTTCCTTCCTAGTATCTTGCCTTGGCCAGTAATTTTAAGGATTTAAAATTAGTTTAACTAATTAAGCTATGTTAATTGTTGAGCCTTTTGGAACAAAGGAACCAGGTTGACCGATTCTTATAATTCTACTGGCTGTATTATTTTGCTCCCAATCTATGAAAGCGGCAATCTCCCTACATGACATGTTTGTTTTCAGAAAAGGCCAGGACTAACCAGTTCTGCTGGCTTAACCAGCCTTGTAAATAAGTGGAACAGTAGAAATCACTTCAAAATATTAAGATGCTCATTAAAAACAATCCTGTACATTTTGCCTTAACTAGAAAAGAATGTAGATAGAGGGAAGAACTTTACCTCTATCCAACTCTCTTTCTACATAATGTGGTTTCTTTCGAAGCAATGTCAGATGAACAACTGGTCCTGTCTTGCGTAATGCTTCCACAACTTCTTGGTTGGTATAATTCTGGATATTAATTCTGTTAACCTAAAGTATACATACACACAATTCTTTTGAAAATGATAATCCACAGCACAAAAACAGGTTGCTTGAATGAGATAATCACGCTGAGTGTCTAATTATTGCACAAAGGCAAAACATGAAGAAAAAAAGATTCACATATACTAACTCGTCTGTGAAGCCAAGAACCGGCCACTTTCAGTGATGGGAAGGTAGCAAGCAGATATGTTTAAAACAAAAATACAAAACGAGACAAAATCTTGCAACCTAAGATATAATCCCCCCCCCGAGGTCTGCTGGGAGGCAAAATAACAATGTTTCCCAACTCTCACAGTTTATATAAAATTGTCATTAATTTACAAGCCATCCAGGGTCATCTTATAGGGGAGATGAGTGGCATAAAAAATTAATAAATAAATTAAAATAGATAATGTAAAGAGAAAAAACTTTTCTTCCTCTCATAAGATGATCCACTGAAATTCAATGTGAGGTGAAGATAAAAATTCGACTCTTGGGTATATCCATATTCCTAAAATAACGATCACCAAGAAAGTGAGTTAAGAAAATAGAATTTAATCAACCTAGCTTTCATCGATAACTCTCGACATCATCAGGGTTAAAAGGCAAACGCTGAGAGAGAACCTAAATATGATCACTAAACGCCTGTTTCCGGCTCCTGGAGCGCGTCACTGGCCCCAGTTGATCGAATTGCGCTCTAAATTCACCCCTTTTGTCAATGTGCATTCCTTTCCCATTCCTTTCCTGCATTCCATCATGCACCGTTCCACCGTTAACCCCAGAGTCGGATTGGGTTGGAATCCCCCCTCCTTCCTTGTATGCAATCCCTCCATTACTTTGCATATCCCTCCTTCTATAGGGGGAGGGGGAGGGGGTGTTCAAGTGTCTGCCAATACCTCCGCACACTCCAATCCCGTCTTGATCTGCCCTACTTTTTCTTTGGGACTGTACCCCTACCCTACCCTGTGCCATTCTCCCTCTTGTCCTCATTCCCGTGTACATCCTAGTTAGCCTGTCGCTGGATTGAACGACAGGCCAACTAGGATGGAAACAGACGTTTAGTGATCATATATAGGTTCTCTCTCACGTTTGCCTTTTAACCCTGACGATGTCGAGAGTTATTGACGAAAGCTAGGTTGATTAAAGTCTATTTTCTTATTCACTCTCTTGGTGATCGTTATTTTAGCAATATATATATATATATATATATATATATATATATATATATATATACAGACATATACATACATACACACACACACATATACATACATACATATTCATCCTTATATACTTGTGTATATATAAGTAATATTAATAATGTATCAAATTTATATGCTTCTCAAGTCCCAGGGATTCTAGGAGGTTTACAGTTTGTTTTAAATACTAAAATCAAGAAACAACAAAAAAAAGAGTAAAAATGGCAGCAGGACAAAACCAGATGGAAACAAAGGAAAACAAATCAAATTAAAAGGAGGCTGTCCTTGCCAAAGGCCTGGGCAAACAGCCAGGTCTTCAAGCCCCTTTTGAAACAAACACCAATAGGGCAGGGAAGGTTCAGATCTTGGGGAAACCTCATCCCACAGGGGAAGTATACAGAGAAGGTGTACTTCCGGAGTCCTGAGAGATATCATTGCTTAATTGAAGGAACTTGCAGCACACCAACTCTGCCAGATTAGATTGGCTAGGCAGGCACTATGGATGACAGGCAGTTCTTTAAACAACCAGGCTCGTCTAGGCCATTAAGCTATGGCACTTGCTGCTGGCCAGCAATTATGGTAATAGCAACAAATTTGGATCATTTTAAAAGATGGCCAGGCTTGAACCAGGGAGGTTCAGACTATCAGTGGCCATTAATAGTGATGAGTGTTTAGCACTTCCCGAAGTATAAATAGCACGTCTGAAATGCAGTACTTGCAATAATGAAAGGAAAATGTGGTTGTCTCATTCCAGACTTGTCACCTTCCCAGAGTATTCAGCCAGGAACCCAGAAAGCTGGTTTAAATGAGCATGGGACTTGGTACAGCACAGCTCTTACGTTCATCTAACACTCTATTCTGTTATCCCAGGTTCAAGTATTTATTCTGATTGGCTTCCCCCCTCCCTCAAACAAGAATAGCAAGGAAAACAAGAGAGCCCATTCCTATGAATGCAAGTTTCAACTTACTGCGATAATTTTGTCTTTGACTTTTATCTGACCATTGTGCTCCGCAGCACTGCCAGGTATTACGTTTTTTATGAAAATCCCTGAAGCTTCCCCTTGAAGGAGGAGAACGAGGGAGAGGGGAGAGGGAGGGAGAAAGTGCAGACAGAGTTAGCATACATTGATTATCATTTCACACATATTCTAGAGCAGAGGTAGGCAACTATGGCCCCTTTACAATCAGTGGACTTCAACTCCCAGAATTCTCTTAAATTTTCTCCATCTGTTTCATCTTCTCAATCTGCTATGGCGTTGTAAGGTTCTGTATTGGCTTCCATTTCTCTACTATGTATAGAGCTTTTACATTGCATATATTTTTATATAAATCATATATTTATCCTGATTTTTAACACTTATTTTCCCCCTAATTGTTCTTATTTTTGGGAGATTTCTTGGGTTTTATTATTTTTTCTGAATGTCTGAAACTTTCACGTTTCTTGATACATATTAGCATTTTCATAGTTGATTCCAGTTTTTTCATAAATGTCCACTGTTTTTTTCATTTAGGCTTCAATACAGTATGTCTCAGCTTTTTTTAATCCCATAGATTTGATGGTTGGTAAAAATAAGGAAACAACTGAAAAGCTATACTACCATTTTGATGGAGGCATAGTCATGCTCTAGCCAGATGACCATGGAAATATCTTTGGACAACGCTGGCTCTCTTAGCTAAAAAACGGCCCCTAAAATTGGACACCTGGACCAGGGAAACCTTTAACTTTACCTAATCTTCCTGCATGACTTAAAATCTCTGGGGCTAAATAAATATTTAAGAGAGAAAAAGCAAAGTAGCATTTCTCTCCCCCTATTTTCTGACAATGTTGTTCTCTATCTTAAACACATGTTCAGCAAATTATCTGATTTAGCCTCTCCCTTTATCAATCGATATTACACCGCTGCTCACCTGAATTGGAAACTCCAGAATATCCAACAATTGTTATACCAAGGCTCTGTCCATCTTTTTTAGTCAACTTAACTTCATGAATTTCATTTTCCTGGGAAACAAAACCATAGCACTCTTTCAGATTATATTAAGCATTTAATCTTGTGCAGAGAACTTTTCTATTTGTTACCTAATTAAAGCCTTTTTCTGTTCAAAGATCCAAAGACAACAGGGTGTGTGTTGTTTTCACAATGTCAGCGTTTCTGGTATTCAAATGTATTGTGTCTTCACACATTACTTTCTGAACATCTGAACGTTATTGAATTATTATTGCTTTGAAGTTTTAAAACAGAAAAAAAGGAGACTATCTTTTTTAAAAAAAAAAGATTGCTAAATTTTAATATTATTTTCATTTTCACTGTCTGGATTTATTTTTATATCTGATTTTATAATTGTTGTGATATCTCCAAAGGCTAAGACAGGTTAGAAATTTAAAATATATCAAAAAAGATAAATAGAATGAATAATTAGATAGCAGTTACAATTATAGACTGATCAAATTAAAATGTTTTAACCACACCTACCAGCAGAAAATCTGATTTTTTTTTTTTACATAGTTCTTTAGGAAGGTATACTACAGGAGTACTTACATACAAATATATAAACTGAAAAGCAAAGGGTAAGATGGGCTAGAAAATATAGCTGTCAAGTCTATAAATCTGAGCTAAAAAATTGATAATATATAAATTACTGATACTATGTGACCTTTTCAGAGGAAGGCATTCCATAACTTGGATGCCCGCAGCTAAATATGAGACGGATAGTCGAGAAGATATTGAAAGTGAAAGTGTCTACCGAGTCCAGTTGCCTTTTGAAAAACACCTTTGGGACTGAAAGTGAAAGCAGTTGATTTCGGCATGTAGCAAAACTATAGTAGTATTGTTTGCCCTTCAGTAGCAAAGTGTGTTAAAGTCAGTTTGCTGGTCTATGACCGTGACTGATTGTTAAACTCAACGATAATGACAATATTTAGACCAGTGGTTCTCAACCTGTGGGTCGGGACCCCATTTGGGGTTGAATGACCATTTCATGGGGGTCGCCAAACAACGCAGTCCGCCTTTTTCCCCCTCTTTTCCTTAGCTGTGCTACTCCCTTTTATTCTATTGGCTTTTGAAACCCAATAGAATAGACTCTCTTGAATAAAGTCTAATTCTATTGGCTTTCAAAAGCCAATAGGAATTGTCCAGGCTGTCTCTGCCCTGCTGAGCCCGCCAAAAGTCCCATTCTGCAAACAGTGCTGCACCAGTTGAGTAGTCTTCGACTTACGACCGGTTGAGTAGTCCTCAACTTACGACCAGTTTGGGGTCACGGCATTAAAAAGGTTGAGAACCACTGATTTAGACCGAGCAAGTATTAGGAAGACTTTTTTCAGACTACATAAAATTTCCAGTGGTGCAAGAGACGCCAGCATTAAGATACTTACTGTGTCAGCTTCTCTGTCCTGAATAGCAGCTAATTCACCCACAGGATCAGCCACCGGAGTTGGTGGGGTTGTAGATATTTCACACAAAGGAGATCTTGCAACTACCATCTTGACATGGTTTCCGCAGTTTCTCAACACTTGAGCCACCTGCTCGCTACTCATCCCTTGTACATTAATACCCCCAATTTCTAAGATGTGATCATCAGTTCTAAGTCTGCCGTCCTTCAAGAAACATGGAACATTTTTCAAAGTTACATTTAACTGGAATTGAATACTTTTTGTAAAGCAAAACTTCAATATAAAATGCCATCGCATTAAAGCAATGCTTGCAGTGGATGTCACACTGAAGGAATAATGTCAAATATTAAAAATGTCATTAAAAATTACTAAAGAAACTACCAGCATGTTTTAGCATATAACGTTCAATTCATAACAGAAGAAGTAACAAGAAATAGAAAAGAAACTAGTGAGCATATAAGTTCATTAATAACACGTATCCGAACATAATTTCTACAATTCTGTAAGAGTTACTCACACATTGTCACAGTTATTTCTTTAAGTTGGAGGTACCCAACAACCAAGGATTTTTGTTACTGAGACCCCTTATTTTTAATTCCTCTAATGTAACTTGATCCACACGAACAATTAACATAGTTTCTTCATATTCTTCAGGAAATAAACTTTCTCACAATAATGTCATCCAATCATTGTCCACCTTTCTCAACAATCAGAATATTATAAACGATGACAACGTGACATATAATTTTGGATACAAAAATATTTTGTCTGGTACAATTAAGTTCTCCAAAAGAAGAAAAGGGAAAAAATAACGAGACAGTGTTGTTGCAAGGCAAAAAGAAAAAAGAAAAAAAAAGAAGCCATATTTAATTTCTATTCTATATAAGCCTCTAATTTTCATTTATACTATGAATTGGAATACATTCCCCCTAATCTCTTTTTGGAAGGACATCTATTTAATAAGTTACTGCCAGTTCAAAGCCATTTTGTCAATTGCATAAGATTTAGTGTCTTTCAGTATCAGCTGAAATTCAGGCAGCCTTCAACTTACAACTGTTCATTTAGTGATCGTCCAAAGTTACAATGGCACTGAAAAAATGACTTATGACCATTTTTCATAATTATGACCATTGCAGCATCCCCACGGTATACGCGATTTATATTCAGATGCTTGAAAACTGACTCACATTTATGATGGTTGCAATGTCCAGGGATTGTGTTATCCCCTTTTGCAAACATTCTGACAAACAAAATCAATGGCGAAACAAGATTCACTTAACAACTGTGTTACTGATTTAACAACTGTGACAAGGAAAGTCGTAAAATGGGGCAAAGTTCACTTAACAAATGTCTCACTTAGCAACATAAATTTTGGGCTCAATGGTGGTCGTAAGTCAAGGACTACCTGTATATAAAAGCAAGGAAGATTATGTTTACTCCTGAAGCAGATTCCCAAAGACTTAACAATTTTAATCAATAGACTATATCCCACAGCCTACGTATAACATGTTGCCCTTTGGTTACATCTTCTTGGCACAATCAAGCTATGGTATGCAATTAAAACTGATCCAACCACCTGCTTAGAAGCATCTCCTGCAAGCTTCTTACAAATCCAGATTATACCCTGATCTGTGCATAAATTGCTGTGCACATGGCTAGGCCAGATGGGAGAAGCAATATAAATCAAAAGATTATACACAAGTTCAGCATTTTTCATATATTGTATATATCACTCACTGATGGATTTCACTGTATATGACATTCTTCCACTGTAAGTCTAATTGTTACGGCATTACCAAATTGTATTCTGCACGTTTTTAATATTCCTCTTTTTACCTTAGAGCCAAGGCCTATATAAGAAGTCAGTTAGAATGAGATAGTGGTGACATTTAATTAGTATTCTTTTACCTATTTTTAATATATATTTATGCATGCCATCTATTAGGCTTGGTTAATTTAAATTTATTTTCATCATTTTAAGCCAGAGCTCCCCAACCTTTCTGGCTTGGCGGCCCGAAAGGAAAGGGAGCAGCAGGGAAATGAGCGCTAGCGTTCACGTGAACGCGCAAACAGGCAGCACACACCCATGGCGTGCCTGCTGACACCAGCACACATGCGCAAATGGGTTACTGGTGCTGTGACACTGGCGGCGGTGCTAGCATCCCCGTGCATGCGCAAATGGGGCTGCTAGCGCCTGCACAGCAGTGCTACTACAAGTGGGGGGGGGGCTTGCCAGTTATCCTCATGGCCCAGTGGCCAACAGGCCACAGCCCAGTACCGGGCCTCAGACCATAGGTTGGGGACCCTGTTGACTTGGACTTAGGGACAGTATCAATTGTGAATATGTGCAGATGGCCCCGCTATCTATGGCCACTTGCAGAACCATGAATGCCAGGTCATAAAAGGACAGCAAAGGAAGCACCCAATATCCAAACCCACCCAGGAAGATATGGTGGGAAATACCTAAACCACCCAAAAAGGAACATATGGTGTCTTGGGGGAACACCCAAAAGGGAACATTTTTTGCTACTTCTGCTTTCTTCCTTCTTATCTACAGTGTGCCAGCCTTAAAGGGTGAAGTCTTTATCTTATGTGTGTCAGCTTTGCTGGGTGAATTGCTTATGTAATCAAAGAAGGTATAAAAATAAGGCTTTTCTGATATTTAGGGCTTTTTCTCTTTTTTAGAGAAGCCCGTCCTTGTTCAGCTGAATAAAAACGTAAAGCCTGAAGGCAACTTCTAGTTTCCTGGTTTTTTTGTCAAGCAAAACCTCAGAACCTGCACATCAACCTCCTGTTTTAAACAATTTGGGGCTCTTGCCAAATGTTTGCATATGCATACTGTGTGAAAATACAAGGTGTCATAGAAACAATATTAAGTTAACAAACAGGAGCGGGAGACTTTATTCCCCCTCCTTATTCTACAATGCTTTGTCTCAGCTGATACAGCAATGGAGAGATGACAGATAACAATAAAGTTACGGAGAAGTTGGGACAATTTCATTACTACCCTCCTTTGCCACAACGACATGCATGGTTGGGACAGGTTTTGCCTTTTAGACATTAACATAGTAACAGTTAGTGATAAAGAGGTGGGCATAGCTCATTCCTCATAATTCTCCAAGGCTGAGAAATGCTTCTCCATTGCTGCTTCCACAGTCTAATAAGACAGGGTAAGACAAGGTGAAGGAGGTCTACTTTAGTGTCTACTTTGGTTTCTATTTTAGTGTCTGCTAAAAAACACTAAAAAAACACTTCTTTCCCTCAAAGAAATTACAGAACCGAGAGAGAGAGAGAGAGAGAGAGAGAGAGAGAGAGAGAGAGAGAGAGAGAGAGAGAATTATAAACAAATTTACCCTGTCTGCTAGTCCACCAGGAACAATAGTCCGTACCACCACACCACTTGATTTTCTTCCTACAATTCCAAAACCTAATCCTGAGCCATCATTAATCAGTTCAACCTCCTCAGTGTGGCCCCAACTGACCTAGAAAAATAGAAAAGTCATTTTACACTGATCTTTCAAAAAATTAAAACGCTAAAAACATTTACCGTAGAACTTCCAAGGTACTTGCTATTTTCCACAGCAACTCAGCTTCTTCTTCTTCTTTGGGGTTACAACATCTGAAGCATACAAGAGATCCAATGGCTCATGCAATTATAGTAAGGTGGATTGGTAGAGAACACGGACAACTATGCAGGAAGACCCCATAACGTGTTTTATTACATCACACCATAAATTTCCTCCAAAGCATTTCTAATTAAAACATTAGACCAGTACACTGAACACAAAAGTCATATCTGAAACACCATAAAGGTCACAAGAAGAGAGACTATCTTCAAACCATTTTTTCACTGTCTCTGAAATATGGAATAATGCATTCTATGCCTGTAGATGGTGCTCGCGAATGAGTATGACAACTGCACTGGAATAATTAACAGGACCTAACCAGAACAACATATTGAAATGAAGCAAACAGCATTCATATATGTTTTAAGTTTGCTTCCTGGAGTGCACACAACAACCTAAACTAGTAGCCCCAAACGTTTTGGGCACCAGGGACCGGTTCCATGGAGAGAGGTTTTTCTGTGGATCGAAGAGGGCATGGTTCCACATGCTACCTTCATCCACGGATGGAGCTTCACTTGTTTATGTGGCCTGTTTTGCACGGCCTGGTTTCTGGCATGCTCTATGGCCAGTCCATGGTCCGGATGTTGGGGCCTAAACCATCATGGTGGCTGGGGGAATTTCACAACAATCCCACAACAAAACAATGCCTGCTGATGCACTGGACATTCGTGTCGTTTTGTTTTCCGTATGTAGGGTTTGCATGCCTTCTTCTCCTTTCCTTCCTCTTTTGCCATGCTGGAAACTTGCTACCTCACTGTTGCAGCTCCATCTCTTATAGCTATCTTGAGAAAATGCTCTTCTACCTCCTGAGGCTGCAGTTTTATATAAGGACATTAATTTTTTAAAGATTTGTTTTCTAACCTAGCAGCCAGTTGATCCAAACAAGCATTGTGTTTGATATCAGCAAAGACATTTGTGCCGTCAAATAAAAGCAAACTATGGACATAGGTTCAAACTTCCTGTGACTTAAGTAAAATAAATAAATAAATCCAGGCTACGAGGATGATTTAATAACAAGTGAAAAGTTTAAGTCACAATTGTATGGAAAGAAAAAAAAAGGAGGTAATACTTTATTTTGTTAGTTTGTTCTATATAGGTGCTCTATGGAAACAAAGTGGTTACATTTCATGCTTTTAGCTTCAGAGTAACAACCACTGTGATGAACCACTAAGTTTAAGCAGTTTAACATAATTATATAAAGAAACAAAAGAACCTTCAGCTAAGATAGTTCCTTCATATCTATGCTTGTAAACTCAACAATTACAGATTTAATAATCTAGCAATCAAGCCACCTGAGCCTGACTTGGGGAGTAATGGACAATAGTAATATATAACAATGTACTATAAAGGACAAAAACCACAATTCCGTTTCATTACTATAATCAATTGCTCATGTTTATGGTGCTCTCAGAGCTTGCTAGTTTTCTTGCAGATGTTTCATTACCAAACTAGGTAACATAATCAGCACTGATGATATTACCTAGTTTGGTAATGAAATGTTGCAAGAAAATCACCAAGCTCAGAGAGAGTCAAGGACCCCATAGTTCAACCCTGAGCTACAAATACTATCTTCTATCAGTATTAAGATTTAATTTTTTAACCAGGCCATAAGTACTTCATGGGATAAAGTACTGTGAAACAAAATCATCCTATTGTTTATATAGTTGATATCTGATTACCTGATTATTATCTGGAAATGCCTGGAATTGGGTTGTCAATAATTTAAACGATTTGTAATGAGAATGATGATGATGATGATGATAAGGAGGGGAGGAGGAAAAGGAGATTATAAACTAAATATAGAAAGCTCACTCATAAATGGCTAGACCAGCGGTTCTCAACCTGTGGGTCGCGACCCCATTTCGGGTTGAACGACCATTTCACGGGGGTTGCAAAACAACGCGATCTGCCATTTTTTCCGCCATTTTTTTTCCTCAGCCGGCGCAGGGGGTGGCACTGCACATGCACGCCGTGTGCTTATGACTGGGGTCACCGGTATAAAAAGGTTGAGAACCACTGGGCTAGACTAAAACTTTCTTTAAATAACGGGTACCCCAAATGTGAAAATCTCCATACATCCAGTTCCACAAACCTGTTGGTTTTGGATCATTCCCACTCTATATCTACCATCCTTTTTTTAAGGTTATGATTAGTACAATTATGAACAAATGTAAATCTTAAAAATGCTAAAAATGGGGAAAAAATTATAGGGTAATAGCAGAAACTATATTTAAATTCAGCAGATTGGCAGCTACTTGCATATTTACAAAAAACACTTATATAAAGTAAGTAATTTAAGAGCTAAAAATATGTAATACCCTGCTATCTTAGATTACAGGGCTGAAAATAGGTAATTTTTTCCATTATGTATGTTTCAAGCAGCTCCTGTATTGAGAACAATAAGGCAATTGCAAAAACTGACCTACTAACAAACTGTATGGAGTAAAATTATACAGTGCAATTTGTCTAACATGCAAACCCTGGAGATGTGATGAACATTCTTGCAAAATCATATTTTGATTCTTATAAAAAAAATTATCTTACCATTTCAGGTTCATTAGCCTCACTCACAGTAGAGGAGTTCCTACTGCTGTTCTGGGTGGGCTCCCTGGCCACAACCAAATGTAAAGAGCCTGTGGACTGTTGGAGCAATAGGATTGCCTGTTGATGAGAAATGTTCAGGTCCAACGGTGTATGATTTACAGCCAATATCTGATCATTTTCCTTTAACCTTTGATCCCTAGGATAAAGCGCAGGTGATAGTTAAAAGTGCTGCAGAAATCTTTCATAATATTGTTACAGGATAATTCAGCCAACACAACTCACAGGTATTATAAAACAGATGCTTGGGTGCAGGTGCAAAATGTGATATTGCATTAAGTCATAGTTTATGTACTTATGTTTTGAGTAAGTACAATTGACAGGTTTTGTAAAGCATGATAAATTAGAGTACAATGGTTGGGTTCACATAACATGCTAATTCAAAGCTATTCAACCAACCAGGCAAACAGCATATTCTATTATATCAGTATATGAAGCGAGTTACAGTATTGGGTATGATCGGTGTAAAGTGCCACTGAATTTCCAAATCCAGATAAAGGCTGGATCAGCACACCGCACTAAACAATGTTGTGATTTGGTTGGTTTAGTCTGGTCTTTAATTACAACTAAAATATTATGTGATTTGCTCTTTACCAATGGTTTCATAGATATGTCAAATAGACAACTGAGAATTGTGCTACACCAGTTGGATATGTATCAACTATAACATTCAGATTACCTACATTTATAACCAAGTTTATCTAAGAAATATCGGGTTGTGAACTACTATTAACAATGACATATTTTCTTTCAGAAATTAAACTCTGTGTTAATAAACCACTCATTAACCAAATAACTCAGTTCCATTTAGGAAGACCATAATCTCTGTATCACCAACAATGATTATGTTTTCAAATGACCTCTTGTCCATCATCAAGTCAGATTCATGATTTGTTTTACTTCTTTATCATGCCATGTTTCATTAAAAACCAAGAAGCATAACTGAGACTACTCAACAAGAGAGGGCAAAAGAAGAAAGAGATTTTAGACTTCAAAACACAATAAAATAACCCCCAGAAGATGTTAAGAAACAATTAAGTTGCATCAGCCTCTTCAGGGAGACAATGTATTCTGAACAGAGAACAATACTGTGTACTCATCACAATGGAACTACAGGTTGTCATCAACTTAAACCATTCATTTGGTGATCAAAGTAATGGCACTGAAAAAAGTGATTTATGGCCATTTTTCCGCACTTAGGACCACTGCAACATCCCCATGGTGATCTGACCAAAATTCAGGTACTTGGCAACTGACTCATATTTATGACAGTTGTAGTGTGCTGGGGTCACGTGGTCACCTTTTGTAAACTTCTGATAAGCAAAGTCAGTGGAGAAAACCAGATCCATTTAATTTAACTATGTTATCAACTTAAAAACTTCAGTGATTTATTTAACAACTGTGATAAGAAAGGTTGTAAAATTGGGCAAAACTCACTTAACCACTGTCTTGCTTAGCACTGGGAATTTTGGGTTCAATTGTGGTTGTAAGTTGAGGACTTCCTGTACTGAAATTCTTTACTATCTCTACCACCATTATCCTATTTATCATTACAAAACTGACATGAGGTGCATTCTTCTAATCTGATCCAATTATCATCTGGCCAGGGAAACTATAAAATCCAGAAAATTTCAATAGGACATCTCAGAGTATCTCAAGAAGTGTTGCTAAATTTCTTACCTGGCTGCTATGCTTCCTGGCTGTACTTCTTTCACAAAGATACCAACTTCCCCAAAGCTTTGGTTTTTAAGAGCAATCACACTAAATCCAAGGCCCCCATTAAATGGTTTCTCTATATCTATATACTCAATTTGCCTGCCCTGTGAAGGAGAAAAGTAATGTTATAAAATACAATATTTTTACAATTGCAAATTATTATTTTCTATTGATAAAATTTGACTAAGATTTGTACTACAGCACATGTGAAAGTCTCCCAAATCTGCAGAACCTAAAAAGTATAGTCCCACTTTCTTCCTGGTCAAAACATCAATCATTTATTTACATTTATTTATATTTCATATTTCTAAATCCAACATCTCCCTCAAAGAAGTGCTCTGGAACGTGTTTAATAAAATATAACTGTTAAATAAAACAAAGTATATAAATAAACATTATAAATTAAAAATTAAGGTTAAAAATTCAAAATTTTAAAATAAGGACGAGGGAAATCCTAAAATGGCCATTAAGCATTGAATTATTACATGCCGAGCGGGGGCTCTCAAGAAATTATTAGCCCCATGGTCGTGAGATCCTCTGTGCCCCCCCGTATAAAGCTGCAGAGCCAACATTTGACCCACTTACAAAAGGTCAAGCGTTTGGAGGTTTTCTTCACCTCTGGGGGCAAGATGTTCCTCAAAGTGGGGGCAGTGGCAGAGAAGCCTCTCTTCCTAGACTATCCCACATCTATTCCATTTGTTAGAAAGCCATTTTAAAATGTAATATGTATATGTATGTCCTCACTTACTGATGGTAATTGGGACAGGAATTTCCATTGCTATGCAATGCAGTCATAAAGTGTAACATTATGGGACTGCATCACTTAGCAATGTCAACCTCTTGTTTCAAATTGGAGTTACAATTGCCATACAGTGTAAATAACCTTAATCAGTATCAAAATACTATCTTTGGTAAGAGGCACCCAGCTTGGTGGCACCTTAGACTTGCAAGGAGTCTTAAGCTGTGCATATAGACTAAGGAAGCAAGGAGACTATGTTCAAAAAAATTAATTCAGAAACTGACTTTAATAACCATACGGTTTGGAATAAAAAGGAAACTTTTATATAATGTACCACTGCATTTTTACCTTTGCCATTTTTTGGATTATCAAATTAAATTCGTCCATTTCAAATCTGGAAATTAGTGGAGCCATTTGCTTCTCATTCTGGATGTTCCCATTAACAACAGGATGTGGGTCAGCATCAAATACCAGCAATCCTCGTCTAGTAAAATCAAAATCCACTGAACGATCTGGAGGCATATACCTAAGCTGTGAAGAACAAGACAAGACATTACCAGAAATTCTACATACTTAATAATTAATACAAAATAATAGCATTCGTGAGCATACAGTACTGCTTAAATAAGATGAAAGTTCAGTCTGAAAAAACAACTTTCCTTTCTGGAATATTACTGAATCAATGAGCAACTGAACATGTCAATATTCACCTTATTAGTAACCTCAAGAGTATGAAATCCCCCCCCAAAAGAGAATCCTTTTGCAACTAAAAGCAAGGTAGAAAAAAAATAATTATCCTGAATTGTTAACATAAGCTGACACTTATAGTTTAGGATTGATTCATTCTTATTATTATTTCATGTTCCTTTTTTTCTTACATAAAAGAACTTTTAAACTCCAGAAAGAATAAACTTCTCAGGATTGGGTTGTTTGTTTGTTTTTTGGAATTATATAATCCAGCCAATCCAATTGTGAAAAAGTAACAGATAATACAGGTAGTCCTTGACTTACGTCCACAACTGATCCCAAAATTTCTGTTGCAAAGCAAGATATTTGTTAAATGCATTTTGTCCCATTTTACAGAAGGTCATGAAACGTGATCATATTATTTTGGGACACTGCAACCATCATAAATACGAGTCAGTTGCCAAGCGTCTGAATTATGATCACATGACCATGGGGATGCTGCAACTGTCACAAGTGTGAAAAATGGTCATATCACTTTTTTCAGTGACATTATAACTTTGAACCGTCATTAAATGAACTCTTGTAAGTCGAGGACTACTTGTAATGAGATGGATCTTATATAAAAGGCCAATTCAGAAATAAACCTCCGTTTGGTTTTCAATGACAGACACTTGCAGATACAGAACTTTTATTATACACATTAGAAAACTACAACATTATATTATTTTTTGACATGATCGCCATTCAAATTGAGGCATTGTCGTAATGTCTTACAAGGTTTGAAATTTGCTGGGCACCAAATCTAGGCTATGCGGAGGGTGTGGGCGAGCATTATCGTGAACCAACACCACACCGAAAGTCAGCATGCCCCAACGCTTGTTATGGATGGCTTTGTCTGAGTTTTTGTAATGTTTCACAATAGACTTCACTAGCAGTACTCCTTTGGCATCTTCACATTTGGCGGAATTTTCTATGGCACCACTTCTGGCGTGGTGTTGGTTCACGATAATGTGCATCCGCACACCTCTAGTTGCACCCAGGAACTTTTGAAGCAGTTCCATTGGGTTGTTTTTGATCACTGCCCCCAAAGCCCAGATTTGGCGCTGAGCGACTACTACTAAGGAATTTCAAACCTTGTAAGGTGTTATGACAAGTGCCTTAATCTGAATTGTGATTATGTCGAAAAGTAATGTAATGTTGTAATTTTCTAACGTGTATAATAAAAGTTCTGTATCTGCGAGTGTCTATCATTGATAACCAAAGAGAGGTTTATTTCTGAATTACCTTCGTATTTTCTCAGAAGGACATAACTGATCACAGTGATTTGCATCTTCATTTTCAAAGACAGAAAAAATCACAACAATCCACAAAACCTCTTTTAATGTTCAAGAACAAATCATCAGTGCATCTTCATTCTGCTCCTGTCCACACATCACACATTTTGGAACCAGAGGCCTTTGGATTAGAAGCTGGGAGACCATAAACTCTAATCCTGTCTTAAGCACAGAAACCACTTAGATGCCTTTGGGTGACTTTCTCTCAGCCACAGGAAGATGGCAATAAACAAGCCACTTCTGAAAATGTTGTCAACAAAACTGCATGGACTCATCTATATGGTCACCAAGAATCAAGTCTAACTCAAAGGTTTAAAAAAGAGGTAGAGCTAACAGAATATCTGAAACATCATGTATACCTTGGGTAGCATTTCTTTTCTAGATTTTATATCAGAGACATTTCTGGCTCCAAGATTTAGGCACTTTGCTTTTGAAAACTGACAAGAAAAACGGCACTATAATGATTTATAAGTTTATAAGTGCATCAGGGGTTAATGATACTGTAAAAGGAACTAAACTGTAATCACATATGTTTTAATAACATGTTACTCCCTAAGCTTTCTTACCAGGTTGGAATATAAGCCCATATAAATAAAAAGCATCTTGTAATTCTGAATCAAATAAAATACAGCTTAAACACATTTTGGCATAGGAGTTTCCACAGAAGTCACAAAATCAGACTCTGTTGTAGACTGTTGAGACAAGAATACAGTCTTTATGATAGTTATTAACTAAAGTGATGTAATGCTTTAGGGAATATCAGGTGAAGACTGGAGATGATCCAGATAAACATATCTCCAAAAATTACACTGGCAGCTGCTATAGATAATACTTTTAGCATTTTATATATAATAGGAAACTATTCTGGAAAAGATAATCAAACAATGAATTAGAGAACACCTAGAGGCAAACAAAGTCATTACTAAAAGCCAACATGGGTTTGTCAAAAACACATCATGCCAGACAAATCTTATTGCATTCTTTGACCAAGTGACAAAGTTAGTGGATCAGAGGAATGCTGTGGATATAATTTACTTGGACTTCAGTAAGGCATTTGATAAAGTAGATCACAACCTACTATTTGATAAGATAGAAAAATGTGGGTTAGACAGCATCACCACCAGATGGATTCATAGCTGGCTGACCGGCCGTACTCAGTGTGTGGTCCTCAATGGAACTCCATCTACATGGAGGGAAGTTTGTAGTGGGATGCCCCAGGGCTCTGTTCTAGGCCCAGTGCTTTTCAACATCTTCATCAACGATTTGGACAAGGGAATGGACAGGGAACTCATCAAATTTGCAGACGACACCAAGCTGGCAGGAATAGCCAACACTCCAGAAGATAGGCTTAAGATACAGGAGGAAGTGGACAGACTTGAACATTGGGCGCTATCTAACAAAATGAAATTCAATGGTGAAAAAAGTAAGGTTCTACATTTAGGCAAGAAAAACCAAATATACAGGTATAGTATAGGTGGTTCCTTGCTCAATAGTAGTAACTGTGAGAGGGATCTTGGAGTCCTAGTGGACAATCACTTAAATATGAGCCAGCAGTGTGCTGTAGCTGCCAAAAAAGCCAACACAGTGCTAGGCTGCATTAACAGAGAGATAGAATCAAGATCATGTGAAGTATTAATACCACTTTACAATGCTTTGGTAAGGCCACACTTGGAATACTGCATCCAGTTTTGGTCACCATGATGTAAAAAAGGTATTGAAAGAGTACAGAGAAGAGCAACAAAGATGATTAGGGGATTGGAGGCTAAAACATATAAGGAACGGTTGCTGGAATTGGGAACAACCTGCCTCCAGAAGCGGTGAATGCTCCAACACTGGAAGTTTTTAAGAAGAGACTGGACAGCCATTTGTCTGTAATGGTATAGGGTTTCCTGTCTGAACAGGGGGTTGGACTAGATGACCTTCAAGGTCTCTTCCAACTTTATTACTACTACTACTACCACTACTACTACTACTACTACTACTACTACTATTATTATTATTATTATTATTATTATTATTATTACTACTACTACTACTTTGGCCCGAATTGGGGTGCTACTATTAGGGCAATAAAAAAATATAAGATTCTCATATGAAAGCCAACTTGTTTTTATTCAAACTTTCATATTTCCAAGTTTTACTAACACTAATTGCCAATGTGACCAGGAGGCTGTTACTCTTCTCCTGGCTGATTATTTTTCATAAATCTCTAATAAGACTGCAAAATTCTTATCAATAACTGCAGCTGTTAAAAGCTTTCTGTTCCTCCTTTAGGCTATTAACTATTACCTCCTTATTGCATTAGAATTTTCTTGTAATTTACATTTTTTTCTTTTATAATTATTATATTACATGCTGGTTTTTCATTGTTTTTGGTCTTGGACCATTTATACATTTTTTTTTATTTGATTTGTGGCTGTTCCTTATCTTAAACCAAGCCTTATTCCACAGCAATGTTTATATCAATGCGATTGAGGAGGCAAATCATGTAAATGCTCTGAGATCCTTCTGAGAAAATCAGGATATAAATATGACAAATAAACCCTGATCTAATTCTTAGTGCTTTTTAAAATAATGTTCTTGATTATTTTTTTAACCGTCAAAAGTGTTTAGTTCTGCAATGCATTTTCACACAAAAGTAATGTATAGGTAATCTTTGACTTATGACTACAGTTGGGACCAAAATCTCAGTCACTGAGCAAAGCAATTGTTAAGTGAAATAGTGTGACTGCTTCATTCAATGACTGCAATCCCAGCAATCCCAGTTGTGGTCATTAAGCAGTTTCCCAGATTCTTGAGTGGAACATGCATGGAAGGGAACTGCTCTGGTGGACTGTCTCAAAGGAGTTTGGATTTTCTGGATCTGAGTTCCATTTCTGCTCCCCTTGATAGCTCCTCTTGGTAGGCCACACCATCAGCCAGGCCCCAGAGATGAGAGGGAGTCCTCTCAGCAAACAGGAGCGGTTTGCAATCTTCCTTACTGGCTTCCCAACTGACTTTGGCAGTAAAGATTACAAATGTGATCCCATGAGCATGGGGCACTTGGCAATCAATTGTAAGTGGGAACAGATTGCCAAGTACCCAGATCATAATCACAGAACTGAAGGGGGGGGGACACAACATTTTACGACAGCTGGAAGTGCTTTATGGGCTAAAAAAACTTTCCAAACCTATCTTAATTTTGAACTAACCAGTCATAGGTTAAGGGCTATTTGTACAAATATTTGTACAAATTTGATTTGCCACATAAAATTTGTCATGAGCAGTATACTCTTCTAACAGGTCATAACTATGCTGGATATGGAGTTTTAACAGACCAGAATAACAAGGTTGGAAGGGACCTTGGAGATCTTCTAGTCCAACCCCTTGCTCAAGCAAGAGACTTAGTCTATACCATTCCAGATAAATGACTATCAAAGCTCTTCTTAAAAACCTCCACTGTTGGAGCACCCACAACTTTTAAAGGCAAGCCATTCCACTAATTGTTTGGGAGTTTCGGGATGTTAAGGTCTATACATTTCAAAGTTTCCAAGGTTGAAAAAGTCTAGATGAAGTTGCAGGTAGAGAAAGCAGAATGAGGCTGAACTTCAATTATTAGTTCTCTCCATCTTTTTTTTTTCTTCCTCCATTTGGAGTTTAAAACCATCATGTCTGATGAAAAGCTTTTGGAAACTCAGAACCCTGCCCACTATTTGTATAACTTCAGCTAATTCAATCAAATGACTAAATAATTACAGGAAGGAGAAAAAATGCAGTATACCCAGTGGTGGGATTCAGCCAGTTCGCACCAGTTCAGTAGAACTGGTAGCTAATTTTTTGTTGCCCAGGCCCAGAATGGACTTCCGGAAGCGGCATCCACACAGAGACCCAGTTGTTCACATATCTGAATCCCACCAGTGAATATGGGAATAGGAATAGGAATAGGAATAGAGTAGAATAGAGTAGAAAATGAATAGAATAGAATAGAATAGAATAGAATAGAATAGAATAGAATAGAACAGAACAGAACAGAACAGAACAGAACAGAACAGAACAGAATAGAATAGAATAGAATAGAATAGAATAATTTATTGGCCAAGTGTGATTGGACACATAAGGAATTTGTCCCTGGTACAAAGCTCTTAACGTACATACAAACAACAAAGTGATAAGTTATCTTGGTGTGACTTCTTCCCACAAACATTACTACTACTTCAAAATTTTCTTGAAAACATAACCAATCAGCATCCATCAGATCTTTCTCTTGTATTACTTACTTGTTCTTTCAGCTGCTTTATTGACTGCTGAAGAGTCAGCATGTGGTTGAATAAAGGGTTCTTAAGAGTATTGTATAGAAAAACCAGATTATCACTCTGCGAGGTATCTCCTTTCTCATGAAGTTTCATTAGTAGACGCTCCAGAATCCTCAGGATCTGCTGCTTATCTGTTGGATTCCCCCCAAAACATCATAACAATTCATTAAAAAAACTACTTTAGATAATTGAAATGTTTCAACCATGTGAAAGCTGATTTCAGACACACTTACCTGCAATTGGATTTTCTGGCATCCTGGCTTATCTGCACTGTAGATTTAATATAGCCTACATTTTAGAATAAAGATGCAGATTAAGCTTTGGTTTTCAACATAACTTATTCCAAAGAACATAAATGGCAAGCACACATTTACACACACGTATGCCTGTTTAGATATTATTGCCATATTAAAGGGTACAGAAAGAAGTGCATATTATACTTCTTTCTGTGCCCATTTAATGTGGCAATAACTCTAAACAAATATAGGAGATGTGTGTAAAAGTAGTACCGTGGGCCTAGAGAACATTTCAGTCTTAAATAAGCAACACGGTTATTTAAGTACATCTCGTCCTCGACTTACATTTAGTGACCAAAGTTACAACAGCACTGAAAAAAGTGACTTATGGCCGTTTTTCACACTTACGGCCATTGTATGAAGGCTGCAGTGTTCTGGGAGTCATGTGATCGCCTTTTGCGATCTTCTGACAAGCAAAGTCAATGGGAAGCCCGGTTCACTTAATAACTGTGTTAGTAACTTAACAAATGTGGCAAAAAAGGTAGTAAAATGGGGCAAAATTCACTTAAAACTGCCTTGCTTAGCAACAGAAAGTTTGGGGTCAATTGTGTTCATAAATCGAGGACTACCTGCACTGTGTTGCCACACACAGTGCTGGAATCTAGACCAATACAAAAAGATTCCCGTCATATTGTCCTGCTATTATTTAACTTATTTATTACTTTCATATCCATACTATTTTGTAATATGTATAAACTGTGCATTATTACTAATAGAATCATACCAAGATAAAGAGAAGCCATGCTAACAAAATTTATATTTTATCCTTGGCTTCCCATGTTGAATGCAGAATTCTCTCTCGGCTACAGATATATCTGAATAAACCAGTTCAGGGTTATAAGGGAGAATTTACATTGCACTATATTCAGGAGCATTTTCTGTTTATATTTATGTTTATATTAAGCCACCATGTTATGTTTACTTAGCATGATGGGTGTAAGAACAAAATCAGGATTTGCATTCCATATTTTCCATCACTCTCGGCTAAAAATAAAACCTCTTATGTGAACCAACAATTTAATAGAATTGTTTAGAATTGTAATTTAAAATTATTATCATTTTCCAACTAGGAAGTCCTTGTTCTGTTGTATAGTGAAAACAAACCTATGTCATATATGCTTAAATATAAAGCCTCCTTAAGTCTACCTTAAATCTTAGTTATTTCATGGATACATCCATGTATCTTCTTCCAGACATTCTTTCAACCTGACAGTCTAGTTTACAATTCCAGTACTAACCCAAGCCCAACCCTCCTTACTTTTGAAGCATATGGAAGATTGAGTTAAAAAAAAAAAGTCTCACCAAATGGAAATCCTTAGGCTGCAACCGTGAGCCAATTAAGAATAAAATCCTGCAGACTTCAAACAGGATTGCTTTCGGATAGACATATAACATTGGCTGACATCATTGAGAACTAAGGAATAGAATCAAACACGTACAAGTTAAATAAGTCACACAGTGTTTATTTAATGCTATTTGCTGGTGATTATTAGTATGCCTATTCAGAAACTGTACTGAGTTTACTCCCTGGATAGGTATGTATTTTATTACATCACAGTCTCAAGTTTCTTCATTTGGACTGGGCCTTCTGTGTATTAATACATACATATGCATGACAGGCTTTTAAAAATTTGACTGCACTTGAGAACTCACTGCGATTTATCAGGCATACAGTGACCCTGGAATTGCAAAAGTCTTCTCTCCAGCTCTGCTTTTGGGATTAGGTAAATTCCTAGTTGCAAATTCAGCAACAAGAGAAACTGGAAATTCTAAGATATTATTATCAATCATCTAAGCCCTCTTCTGTTTTGAAGCATCCTTACACAACAGATACTACAATAAATAAACCTTCTTGGATAATTACATTCTACTTGTCCCAGTATGTCCAGATTTAAGTAGAACATTGAAAGAATCCCCTCTTTTATTTTTTAAAAAATAATATTGAAGTTTTATTTGTGAGTTTTAGATTGGGAGATAAAAATGCACTCTGAAGCAAATCTATTTTAATATTGATTTCATAATGAAGTTACCTTGAATTAGTACTGAACTTAATTTCCAAAGTGAAAAAAAAGCTATTCTAAAAAGAATGCCTTTTCCATTCCTTTTTTCTTCCACATGTTCATTGCTATTCAGTGCATAAAAATTTACACTTAGTGAACTATGATTACTCTTATAAAAGTAATCATGGCTACATTTGACTAATGCAGTCACACTTTCTAGGCAGCTCTATCTGGTCAGATTTCTCCTTGACATTGTTGTTGTTAATTGCGAAGTCGTGTCCGACCCATCGTGACCCCATGGACAACATTCCTCCAGGTCTTCCTGTCCTCTACCATCTTCTGGAGTCCATTTAAGTTCACACCTACTGCTTCAGTGACTCCATCCAGCCATCTCATTCTCTGTCGTCCCATTCTTCTATTGCCCTCAATCTTTCCCAGCATTAGGCCCTTCTCCAGTGACATCTGCCCCATTAAAAACAGAGGAAATGGAGAAGGCAGCATCTCTTTACAACAGTTTTCCCTTGTTTGCTATGGGGCAATCCCAACTTTGCAGCCCTCCAAATGTGTACAAACTTCAGGTTCCAGAATTCAACAGCCAGCATAGCCTTCCTTCCTTCCTTCCTTCCTTCCTTCCTTCCTTCCTTCCTTCCTTCCTTCCTTCCTTCCTTTCCTTCCTTCCTTCCTTCCTTCCTTCCTTCCTTCCTTCCTTCCTTCCTTCCTCTTTCCTTTCCTTTTTTAGAATTCTGGAAATAGAATTGCACAACTCTGGGGTTCCTCAACCCAGAGGAATACCCAACCTTGAGGTTCTCCTTCAATGACGGTGGGTTGTTTAGCCCAGAAACAGCTGATCGAGGATCAATACAGATCCCCAAGGAAGGAGCTCCCTCTTTTTACTTTCACTTTTGGGTTTATTGCCCGAATCCAGCTACCAGCAAGGAAAGGGCACCCAAGCCAGTCGGGATCCAAGCCCAGCCTCCAATCAAAGGTCAGCACTCTTGGATCGTTGGCAGCTCAGACCTTGCACAACCACAACACTAACTAACTGCTGCTGTTAACGTTTACGGTCAAGCTGAAAATATCCCGTCCCGCCTGTACTTTGCCCTCAGCCTTAGCGGCTTTAAGCTGTTCGCTCAGGCTTCAGCCCGGGCGCCTTTCAAAATAAGCGGCCCCTTTGCTCAGATCAGGAGACGGGCAAAGCTCACACGAGGAAATCCAGTCGGATTTCCAGCATCTATAAGGGGCAACCCGGGACGGATCTAAGCAGATCTAGCTCTGAATGCCTCCAAAGAAAAACCTACCGCGAGGAGGGAGGGACGCCCCACCATGAAGGCTCAGCAAACCCGCCCACCCGAAGCGCAACAAGTTCTCCTCAAGTCTTTTCCATTACACTTTCAGCCTTCAGGAAGTGGGCGGCGGGCGCAACGCAAAAGCCCGACTGGCTGCATCTTCCAGGCACTGACGGCCGCTTCCCCTCCCCGCCACAGGGTCGACTGTGGCTGCTCGGAGACGAGAAGGCGGCCGGGAGCGCGCCCGGATCGTCAGAACGGCTTACCTGTTCGGCCGGGGGCGAGACCTGTCGCTGGGCGATCCTGGCTTGTTCTTACCTGGGCGGAAGCGGGAGTTTCGTTTTACCCGCACCTCTCCTTGCAACACAGGAAGCCGGCAGCGAGGGGGAGCAGCTGGGCGCTGAAGGAAAACAAGCCAGGCTCCGGCGGGATCAGGGTGGATAAGGCGAGAGATCAGCTGCCGCGGGGCAAGAAGCTGGGGGTCGCTGAGGTCGCGGAGTGATCTCCGGGATGCTGGTGGGCTTAGTTTCGGCGCAAAAGGCTCGGATCCTTCCTAAGTATACGGAGAAGGGCAGATTCAAGGAACAAGTGAAATAACGAGTGGGGAGGGGAATTGGCCATCATTGCAGGAGGGGCTGGGTGACAATGGGGTTGGGTCGTGGGAACGTTGGCGTCGGGGACAATCAAAGGAGGGAGACTCTGGCTCCGTGGATTTTCGTTAGTTGTAAATGGGGAAGAGGTTGATAAACAAACCCCTTAGGAAGAGCCTTGTTTGTGAAACCAGCAGCAAGTCAAGCTCAAACCCAATATTCAGACATCACAAGACAGCAGCTGTTTTGCTGCATACACTTGATTTTAAATTTATAGGTAATGGAATTACCTAGAAATGGGAAGATATGCATCTTTTTTAAGAGAAGAAGTGGCCTTTGGGTGACCTTAAATAGCTGTGAGAAAATAGCTTTTTTCCTTTCCAAAAAGGACATCAACAAAAATTAAGTTTTTTGTTTTGTTTTTAAATGAAGGCGGTATAGATAATAAGTAAATTGTTGGCTTCCTGAAATGACAATCTGGATTTTTTTTCTTTTCCTATTAAATTTTTCTCTACTTATATTGTACCCACTATAAAAGCAATCACTTATGTGCGAATCATACAAATGAAATTGCTACACAATGTTTCTGAAAAGCTATTCTTATAGAACTTTGTGGATTTTTGTGTTAAGGCTGATTTCATGTCTAGAAAGACTTGTTGCAAAATATGAAGGCAACAAGGGACAAGCCTGTGTTACTGGTCAAAGATAAACTCTTAACAAACCCCTATTATGTTTAAAATAATTTGATCTGGGACTAAGCATTATGTCAACACATTTCTTTGGTATCCAAGAGTTTCTGGATTCATTTAGTTTCTGGATCCCTTCACTGCTAGGATACCTGCCAAGAACTAAAGATCAACTGCAGAAGTTGTTCCCTAGATGCCCCACCAAATGAGATCTACCGTCTCAGTTTTAGGTTAGTCTTAGAATCTCAGTTTACAAATGACCATAGCAAAACAGTTTATGGTGCTAAGTGATAGAATCACATATATATCACTTCGTTGTATGATTGGTTGACTTCACCTCAGACTGTAATCTTTTTAAGGCTTTCAGAAATGTTATTACAGGTAGTCCTTGACTTAGGACAACAATTGAGTCCAACATTTCTGTTACTAAGGGAGACATTTGTTAAGTGGGATTTGCCCCATTTTATAACCTTTCTTGCCACAGTTGTTAAGTGAATCACTGCAGTTGTTAAGAAAGTAATACAGTTGTTAAGTGAATCTGGCTTCCCCCTTGATTTTACTTTTCAGAAGGTCACAAAAGGTGATCACATGACCCCAGGACACTGCATCCGTCATAAATATGAGTCAGTTGCCAGGTGTCTGAATTTTGATCACGTGACCATGGGGATGCTGCTATGCTGGCTCAGGAATTCTGGGAGTTGAAGTCCACTCATAAAAGCCAAGGTTGCCTACCCCTGTGCTAGAGGAATGTTTTAACAGACAGAAGTTGCTGGCCAAATCTCTTCTTGACCTCAGGTTTAATTTGGAATATGTAGGAATAATGTTTTTTTCAGGTAACAAATTGACCCATATTCCAAAGGATCATCAATTCTCAACAGGAAAAGGAAAAGGTTAGCTAGTAATACAACAGAAGATTATTTTCTTTAACTTTATCTTCATGTGTTTAAAGTGTGATATTTAGTATTTTATTGATTGTTTCTATACCATCACAAGCATTGTGTGTTTTGTTAACATGAATCTTCAATATAGTACAGCAGAGCTATACGCAAGAAAGAGCAGATCACCATCATTTTGTGGTGTGCCAGAGATTCTGATTTCTATTTTTGTGTCCACAGTTCTTTCAAGATCTCCCAAAGGTGCTTTTTCAAAAGGCAACTGGGCTTTCTTTGTTTTTTTCCTTGAAGACGTTTTACTTCTCATCCGAGAAGCCTCTTCAGTTTCAGCTTCAGAATCGAAGAAGCTTCTTGGGTGAGAAGCGAAATGTCTGCAAGGAAAAACCAAGAAAGTCCAGTTCCCTTTTGAAAAAGCACCTTTGAGATAACCTTGATCTGGACGACTGAGACTCTCCATAGTCATTCTTTTAAGACGATATCTGATCTGAACAACTATATATAGTTTTATCTCTTTTGACACAAATGTTTTGTTTGTGACTAGATAAAAATACAAAAAAAATAATATAAAATAAAAAAATTACGTTTTTCTTTTTTTTCCCGTATTAAAGTGTGATTTTTATCCATCTCTTATGACAGTGATGGCAAACCTTTTAGAGACCGAGTGCCCAAACTGCAACCCCAAACCCACTTATGCATTGTTGGGTGCCGGGTGGGTGTGGCCCATTGGATGGGTGTGGCCCATTGGGTGGGTGTGGCCCATTGGGTGGGCGTGGCTGCAGTGGTAACGGCAGACTGGGTGGGACTAAAAAATTCAATCAATCAATTCCAACTTTGCAAGATCTTTTTTTCCCATGAGAAGTTGAAATTGACTCATTGATTGAACCTTTTTTTTTTTTTTTGCACACGGCGGTGGAGGCCTAAAGCAAAAAGATTTTATAAAACCCAACTGAAGGCCTAGGACTGGGGCGACGGCATGCGTGCCCACAGAGAGGGCTCTGAGTGCCACCTCTGGCACCCATGCCATAGGTTCGCCACCACTATCTTATGAAATGTGCCTACCCACAAAGATGATAAGGAGCTGATTCTGTTAGTCAAATGCTTCAGTGCTATAAGGTTGGACAGTAACAGTATAGAAGTTATTTTCTTTTTTTCGTGTGCTAGAAAATAACACAAATTGTGGGAGGCCTAGTTCCCTGGCTCACCAAGTGAGGCGCATCCTGGAAAATAGACAGTATCAGTAGTCCTGGATTAACAACCATTCATTCAGTGACTTGAACTTGCAACAGCACTGAACCAGTGGTACTAATGACTGGTTCTTGAAGTGCTGGCTGTGGCAGTGCCCCTGCATTACATGATTGCGATTTGGGCACTCAGCCAGATTTTCAACCATTGCAGCATCCTATGGTCACATAATTGTGATTGCAATGTTCCCTGAAGCTGTCTCACAAGCAAAGTCATGGGAAAGCCAGTAGGAAAAATCAAGCCATGGTCCCATGCGGTCCTTGCTTAACAACTTCTGGAACAGTTGTTGCAAAGTGGCGCATTCAAGTGACATTGCTGTCATGTGTTTGACAACTGCTCTCTTTAACAGCATTACTTAGCAATGGAAATTCTGTTTCCAAATTCAGTCATTAAGCAAGGACTATCAATAGCTGTGATAACTACCAAACTACTGTGTCAAAGATAATGGAGGACATAAACTGCATAGACCCAGAAAATTACTGGAAGAAGAGACCTCCATTCATTTACCTACAAGCTCAATCCTGCCATTGCAATCACAGAGAATCTCTTTTATTTAGAGTATTTCCTCAGCTGCTGTTTTTGTTTTTGTTTCATGTCATTGTATTGTTTTGAAGTGCCATAAACCATTCAGAATTGTTATGAGATGAGATGCTGTGTAAATGGAAGAAAATAAATAATCTGCTGCTTTTTATTTTTCTACCACTTTATCTCTTATTTTAAAAACCCAGATCCTTTGGGGTTTGGGTTGTATATAAACATTATTAATAAATAACAGAGACATTAGGAAGCAAAGCAGCTTTATAGCTTTTGAAAATCAAGAATTTTTGTGGATCAAGCTATTAAAGATATGCAAACCAAGTGAATCAATCCGTTCAAAATTTCTTTTTAAGATCACGTAATTGTCATTTTCTTTACATGATGAAGTTTCAATAAATGAGAATATTGATTGTTACTGAAACTACGGGCTCGGCTTAATGGCAACAGGATGTGGAAAATTACACAAAGCTTCTATTCAGACAGTAATGCAGTGGGTATGTTTATACATCAAGCTAAGAAAAAATCAAATCACATTTTGGTTTAATATTGTATGGGTTAGGTATCTTTGCTATAGAATATGTTATCAGATAATAGATGGAAACGTATAGAAATGAGCTTTATGTTCACCCACAATGCCATAAAAGCTTTCCTGGAAAAGACGAAATGACAGTAACAAACATCATAATAATGGCCTGGCCACCCAATTCTCCCAAACGCACGTGCGACATGGGACGTTTGATCTTACCCAAAGACTGACTGAATCACTGTCGGGTAATAATAAAGTAGATCTTTGTCATGAATAGACTCAGGTGATGTTTATATTTCTATCCATTGTTATTATACTGATGTTTTTAATTTTCTGGTTCTCAGGGTTGCTTTGGTGAGTCGGGCAGCTTTACCCCTTGAATAAAATCAATCAAAGGGTGATCTTACTTATCTGCTTGCTGGAATAACCCCCAGTAGTCATTTAAAAGAAAAAAGAAAATCTCCAAACTCAGAGCCCAATTAAAAAAAGAGCAAGGTGCTGGGGTGACCCAATCTCTGAAATTATAGTAAATTAAATGGATGTTAAACAAGGTTGTATTCTTGTTCCTCCATTATCCTGTTTTCATTTGAACTGTTTTGTGTACAGGCTTTATCAAGCAGTAAACTTCCTTGCCAAGTAGTAACACAAGAGACCCACCTTGTACTGTTACACACAAAGGCTGCTATTCTTTCTGAGACTCAGGCAGACCTTGAGAAAACCCACCTAGCATTAGCCAGTTTTTGCCACCAAGAAAAAAATTGTAATTAACTATAAAAACAAAGATGGTCCTATTTACCAAAGCATGCTGCAGTTGCCAATATAAATGCTGCGTCGACAGCATCCAAATAGAACAAATTAAGATCTTTAAATATTCATCCTCTAAATGATAACAAATTCACAAGGTTTTATCCAATGCACAAATACTATAATTAACTGTAAGCCATAAAGGTAACAATTTTGTCTCAGTAGCAGTTAAATTGTTTAGAACTAGGATAATGTCAGCTCTGCTTTATGGTATGCAAGCCTATCCTTACAAAGACTTTAAAGGCTTTAAATTCAGCCTAGCTAAATTTGTGAGAATTATTCTCCATCCCCCTTGATTTATCCATCATGCTCATAATAAGATTTCAACTAGGATCTATTTTTATAGTGGCTTGCATAAGAATATGTTATCTAACATATTAGCTGAAACTACACTTGAAGGGCGATTCAGTGCTTAATTCATTCTTATAATGAATTAAGCACTGAACAACTATTGCTAATGATTGTTCTGTCTTTAGCCTCTCAACTCAAAGGCTACAAATAAAGAAAACTATATCTTGAATTAAATAAAGTGTTCCCAGTCTTGATCTACACCCTGGAAGAGCTAAGACTCCAAATTCTGTGTCAGGGAATAATCTCTTTGCTATTGCAAAATACTTTTTTTTTTTTCAGTGAAAAAGCTGGTGGAAGGATGACTTGAAAAGTTTCTGTCCAGATTACTACTACAGATGCTAAGATATATCCATAAAATTATAACAGATCCTGTTGCATTGTCCAGTCTGCCTTGACAGATGATCTGCAGTTATATCCGCTCCTTGTTAAGCATGATCCAAATCTGAGACTATACAATTTCTATTAGAAGACATCTTCACTTCAGCCTTTTAAGAAAGTCACAGAAGTTTTGTCAGTTGCCAATAAAAGCCAAAAGGCCTAAACCATGTGTCTTCCAACTTGGCCTTTATGACTTGTGGACTTCAACTCCCAGAACTCCTCAGCCAGCATGCCTGGATGAGGAATTCTGGGAGTTGAAGTCCACAAGTCATAAAAGGTCCAAGTTTGAAGACCCCTGGCCTAAACACATTCTACTTTGGAATGGTATGTTGCTGCTTAGGAGATTTAAATGGTAGCTTGCTAATACATTACCTCTTGATCATATCACCTTTTTGATTTGGTCTCTGACAATAAATAAGGAACCAATGTAGTTCATTCTCTTAAATGAATGTGCATTATTTAAAACGGGGAGATTTAAAAGTTGTAGGAATTGGACTGCTGTTGAAAAGATGCATTGTTAATATAATCTTTCAAAAGAAGGCATGGAATATTTAAAATAATAAACCCTGGCCCAAGACCTTTTGCTGCCTAAGGTGAAAGCAAATGTTTGGTTGTTTTTTTTTTTACTTAGGGTGAAATAAGCACTCAGAATTAACCACATGGGCTTTTGCCTGAGGCAAAAATCATGCAAATATCTGTCCTTTATTATGGCAACAAATACAAGAATTTTTAAATCAATGTGTTGTATGGGAGAAAGAAAACACTGTTGACTGCTATTTTGAAGCATACGTATGAAGAAAGTACCAAACTCAGTCCCTGGGCATCATGTTTGTTTGATGTGCTGTCTGAAGCAGCCTCTTCCAGATGTAGTGAATTAGACCTCTGGGATTTTAATGCAACATATCTGGAGGCACAAGGTTGGGGACATTTGTTGACAGTGAGTTAGGATGAAGTCATCAGTATCCACTAACCTGAAAATAAGCCTCATTACCTTCAAGAGAACTATTGAGTAGGTACATTTAAGTTCATTGTATAGATGTCAATATTACTCATTTTATTAAATACATTTATATAGCTGCACATTTACCAAAAGAAAACTCTGTATGGCAAATAAAAAACAAAATACAGTAAAAACCACAATTTAAACAAAATTTTACTGAGGCCCCAATATACTGTAAACTAAACTTCATTTTTTTTTTAGTATCTAGGAATTTCTTTACTCAAAACGTATAATCTCTGCATTTCTAGTATTTAATACCACATTGTACTGTATTCTGACAGCTGTATTTAAAAGTGATAAAAGTTGAGTTTCTTTAAACCTATCATGGTACGAAGCATACATTCCAATTAAGGTGGCTTAGTCCTTTAAAAAGGCATTGAACTACAGGTCTCATAATTCTCAATCAGCACAAGAGTTTGGCATGCTAGCTGGGAATTGTAGTCTGGGACACTGTGAAGTTTAATGAGAAAGTCGCTATCTATATATATTCCATTCCCTGGCATATTCTGTCTTTTCACTTTCAAGAACCATACTAGCTCCTTCCCATTGAGTTTTATTCTTCTTAAAAGCTGCTCTTCTTACCCCACAAATTCTTTGTATCCCTTTACTTAACCTATCATTCAAATCCCCAGCACCTCTCATCTATCCCTGGTTTGGCTTTCTTCAGAGCAGCTCATCTAATATTAATTTAATATTTAATAATACAAAAGCAATTAAATATTTTGCAGAAAGTAACACAAGTTGAGGGAACCCTTGCTTTTTCATATGCCATGGTAAAAATAGGTAAAAATATTTCCTGAAGATATGTCAATTTAGGACTACCTTGCATTCATTCCAGGAAAGTTCAAACACGAAAGTGACCATTTTGAACTGCCATTATTACTTAAGTGACTTCAAAGAATGCCCATTATTTCAAAGGGTGGGCATTCTTGTCTTTTTTATGGCTGATGAAGTGGCTGATACCAGTAAAACATCTTCTGTATTAAGGGAAGGATAGAATACTTCTGAGGTATGAGAATACTTTGGAGTTAATTATTGGGTAAAACACAGGAAGAAAAGGTAGAGGTTAGTTCTAATTGAAAATAAGTTTTAAAACAATAGCCAAGGATCACTTTTCCGGGAAAAGGTCATAAAAGAATTATTCTTGAGAAGAGATATCACTTCATTAGGGTTTTTATTTTTATTAAAACCGTGTTTTTTTATACTCGGCCGCTATTCACTGAGTGCAATCCTTAAGCTCCACGTTGCATGATAGCCTATGTTTTTCTACTCAATACCTTTAAAAATGAAACAACTAAAATAGATCCCATAATTACAAGAATTATCTAAGACTACTTCATCAAGAAGCTACCCGTGGGACTCTGAATTGGCACTTCCTCAGCAAAAGTGCTAGATGTATCAGGTAACCAAGAAAAGGAAGGAGAAAACAGCCAGACTGTATACCAGCACTAACTTCATTTCCAAAAATGTCTATCCAGCGAAGCATCAACGCAGCCATTCATTTTGCTGATGCTGGTAATAAATGAGAAGGAACAGAACTACAGAATGTTAGTAAAACAATACAATACATAGTATCGGTTTCTTGCAAATACATCGGTCCTCAATTGCTGGTAGTCGTGCTACTGGGGATAACATAGAATATGTTCTTTCATAGGTATCACCAAGTTGACGAGGAAAAACCAGTAGCCCTCTGGCTGAAGCTCGCTCATCAGGGTGGAGGCGTTGGGAAAACGCCCGATCCATTGAATCAAACATGGGTGGTTGCTCCAGAGCTCCAATTTTTAGCCCGAGGTCCGCCTGAAAGCAAAATCAGGCGAGAGCATGCCTCTGCACACACCCAACTAAAGAATTACGATCGGACTTCCCCTCCCCTCCAACAACTTGTGTGTACCTATTATAAATTATTAGATGACAATGGATTATATGCGAACGCGTCCACTTCGCCTTTATTCCGTATTTCTTCCTGCCTTCCATCAGCACCCACTCAACCAACTGAACCTGCGCACCTCAAACGTCGTATAGCAAACAGCCGGTTCAATTTCTCCGCCCTCCCAAAAAGATCAATCCCAGTTTACTTCCTTCCGTTGCTTTGAACCCGAGTAGCCATTTTTAGTAAGGGCGCTCGGCTTCCCATTTTGATGCCTGTTGCAGCCATTGCCCGAGAAAAAGCCGGCGGCTTCTGCCTTCGGTCCCTAAGAAGACAATGGAAAATGCAGCCATCTTTGTTACGGGCAAGGCGATTCCCATTTCCCACAGGGGGACGGACAGCCCGTTCTGCCCTTCTTCGCGCGCTCTGGGATGGCGTCTAGCGTTCCGCGAAAGGATTACGGCAACGTCTGAAGAGGAGGAGGAGGTTTCTTTTTCCCACCTGGAAGGGGAAGCCGCTGTCAAGCGAAGATAGGCGGCATGGTACCTCTCTGGCCGTTGGGGACCTTGTGGCTGGCTTATTTCGCAGCTCGGGCTGTGGCGAGCGACGATGCTCCCTTGAAGTGCGAAGATCTGCGAATCGGCCAATATCCTGAAGGCGGGAGGATGCCAAGGGAACCCGGTCACCGTGGTGATGGGCTTTGCCGGGGGGAGGGGGAGGGAGGTCGAGGAAGGGGGCGGGACGGCGCTCTATGTTCTAAAAGGGTCGCGCGAGGCATAATGAGCCGGGTGCTTGAGGAAGCTGCACCTGTTGAATTACACTAAATGGCAGGTAGTAGTCCTAAGTGGAATACTGGTTATTGACTACAACCGAGGATTGATGGACCAAAGGCTTTATAGCAGACGCCAACAGGCCTAGCGTGGAATAAATGTACCCACTTCCGTCCCTTATGAGTGGAAAGAGACCTGGAGCAGAAATTTATGGCTGGGTTCGTAATAAGTCAGGCTTTGCAACCCTTGGAGAGCTAAGGATTGCACTTAGCTACATTCCTGTGGGTAATGAGGCCAGAACAAAATCTAAATTTAATTTACGTTCTCTTAATCCTTGCAATGAAGAGGTACTACAGGTAGCCCTCAACTTATGATCACAAGTGAGCCCAGAATTTAAGTTGCTAAGTGAGAAATTTGTTAAGTGATTTTTGCCACATTTGTTAAGTGAATCACTGCAGTTAAATTGATAACAGCGTTGTTAAGTGAATCTACCTTCCCCGTTGACTTTGCTTTTCAGAAAGTCACAAAAGATAATCACAAGGCCCCGGGACACTGCAGCCATCATAAATATAAACCAGTTGTCAAGCATCCGAATGTAAATCACGTGACCATGGGGGTGCTATAACAGTCATAAGTGTGAAAAAGGGTCATAAGTCACTTTTTTCAGTGCTGCTGTAACTTCGAACAGTCACTAAATGGATTGTTGTATAGGTTGCTGAAGCATGATTAATTGTATAATTGTATACAATTGTATAAGCCAAAATTGGTTAGCTTTTCATATAACTCCAAACCATAAGCCATGATTTACAAAGCACAGTGGATAAGTTCATACAACACTGTAAAGCCAAAGAAATAATTATAGTGTATATTTATGCAAACCCATTATGTGTTACCTTGTTAAACCTATTGTTCAGTCTTAATATGATGCCTTCCAGATGTGCTAGGAACAACCATAGTGCTATGATGGGAAATTCTAGTAGTTTAAGTTCCAGAGTATTGGAAGATTCCAGGCCAAAGAAGGCCATATTGTTGATTTAAATAGCTTCTCCAGCTTAAATATTGCTGTATCGCTTATTTTTCTGGATAAAAGAAGGAAATATGGCCACTTCAGCCTATATAATTTTTGGTTAATTGAAAACAAATCTAGATCATGATGCTAGTTTTAATCTTCTGCAGAAACTTGGGTTATGTTTGTTTTCCTTAATTGTACAAACATATATATGCAAAGATCCTAAAATAGACAATGCAACCCAAGAACCCATGAAATGTACTAACCACACTGCATATGGTAAGAGTTACTTAATATATTTAATGTTGCGTATTCCTTAATCAAATGCTTCCAGTGGATGAACTGTATATGTTTCCTCTTCTTAGATACCATAATTTGCTTTAAAAAAAGTAGACATGGGGTCTTTCCCTGCAAAAATATTTGAAATGAATTAATAAGATTTGTGATGAGTTTATTCCAATTTATACTGCTGTCCAACTCATCTATATGATTCTGGATGGCTTGGCAACAATTATTAATACAATAAAAGCAAAAAAAAAATAATAAAAATATTTTAAAACAAGAAAAAAACAATATAAAGCCTTATTAAAAGCATTTGTATTCTATTAGTTATTGCAATAAATGTTTCTTGACCGCACATAAGTTTTAGACATGAATTAATATTATAGATGCAAAATAAATTTTGTTTTACTGTATGTTTAGTTTTTGAAGTTAATTTATTATTCATCTTTAAAAAATTAAAATTAAATTTAACATCTGCTATACGTTAGTTGTCTTGCTAAAAAGATATTTGCTTTATGAGCTCTATATTTGAAATGTTTTGCTGATGTTCTATATATAATGCTGTGTTATTTTTATGTCTTTAGTTCCCTGTCTTCCAGCCCCAAATATTACTTGTAAAGATTTCAGTGGAAATGAAACTCAGTTTACTGGAAAGGAAATTGGATTTTACCAGCCCATTGAGTGTCGAAGTGTGTAAGTAATAACTCTGTGTAATATGTAAGAATTCAATTGGTAGTGAGTGTTTGCTGTATTAATTATAGAACACTTACATATTTGTATATGTACCTAAGTTACTTTATTGTTTTGAAATGTGCTGCAGTACTTTCCTTTCAGTTCTGTTAGATTGGAGGAGATTAGAGGAGAGATACCAGACCTGTCTTAATTAATACCTGTTTTATTTGATCATATACTGTAGCTATCATACTAGGGATGATACTTGGGATCAGAAAGGATCAAGTCCCAGGAGAATGAAGATTATTATTACAATGCATTTTGAAATACTTTTTGCAATAATTCAAAGATATATGTAATACTGTAATACAGTTGAATTAAAAAATATTGAGGTATGAAAAATCAATAAAAACACTCCTTTGTTTTTACTTTGTTTTATAAAAATGGCTATAGTAACTCAAACTGGCTTTACTAGGTTTGTGTTTTGTACAAGAAGAGCCAAATCTGAAATTGTAATTCAAGCTCTGAAATGTCTCTTTCTTTGTCGCATGAAATATTAGCAGTCTAATAAATGGAGAAATCATTCACTCCTTTTTTGTATTATTGTTTGTAAAGTGTAGCTGGATTTCCATTTGCTTAAGCTTTGACAGTTTGAAAGTTCTAGCGTCAAATAATTAATGGAGTGATGAAAAAGAACCCAGCAACTAATTCAGGAATTTTTTGTCCTATTTCTATTTCTAGAAATGGTTACTCCTATAAAGTAGCAGTAGCTCTGTCTTTGTTTCTTGGCTGGTTGGGAGCAGATCGGTTTTATCTAGGATATCCTGCATTAGGTTAGTTCCTACTTTTAAATATTAGTCTAAATAAAAGTGAATGGTTCGGTATCAATTCATTTATATTCCATTTGTATTCGTAACTGACAGTGTCTTGTATAGATATCAAGCTGGAATATTAAGAGGTTGACATATTCGGCAAATACAGGTAGTCCTTGACTTACGATCGCAATTGAGCCCAAAATGTCTGTTGCTTAGCAAGACAGTTGTTAAAGTGAATTTAGCCCCATTTTATGTCCTTTCTTGCCACAGTCGTTCAGTGAATCACTATAGTTATTAATATGGCTGTTAAATGAATCTGGCTTGCCCATTGACTTTGCTTGTCAAAAGGTCGCAAAAGGTGAGGACACTGCCACCATCATAAATACATGCCAGTTGCCAAGCATCCAAGGTTTGATCACGTGACCATGGAGATGTTGCAATGGTTGTAAGTGTGAAAAATGGACATCACTTTTTTCAGTGCTATTATAACTTTGAATGGTCACTAAATGAATTGTAAGCTCTCTTATATAAAATAGAGAACCTCCAAGAATGTTATATTTTTGTATTTCATCACACAATAAAAAAGATGGGTTGGATAATTTATTCTAGATTTCCTTCTGAGTTGCACTTGAAAAATTAAAACATTGCCCAGTAAGTATTAGCGGTGTTTGCTTACCATAAATCTATTTATTTGTGAAAAATCACAAATGATTTCCCCCCCATACAATAAGGCTTTTATTGGGGGAAAAAACCCCATTATAGTGTGTTGTAGATTAGGGAAGGAAAAAAACAAGGATTTTAATGATTCTATCTGGAAGTTTGAGATATTATGACTATCTGGAATTCTTATAGATTATAGAGTGTTGTGTTGGAATTTCTCAATGGGCTTCTAACCCATTGCATTTTTTCTGCTTGCTAGAAACAGATTTTGTGGGGTGGAGGTGCGGAAAATGACACAGTACTGTATTAAATAGATTCTTGCAGTATTCTACCATGAAAGAATATCCACCATTTTGGGATTTTCAGTTACCATATTTTTACAACTGAACATTATCAGAACATCATGTGGATCCTAGAGATATATAAATAGAGAATTGCTAAAACTGATGATTATAGCTTTATCGTAAGAAAATCATCAGGTGGGATTTATGAGTGAGTAGAAGCCACGACTCACTAAAAGTATTGATACTTGTCTTAGTCTGCCAAACAAACAAACAAATAAAAACAGGGATGATGCTCCAGACCTATGGAAGAGTACTCTACCAACAGATAATCCAAAATTGGCTACATGGATGTCACAAATGAAACATTGCATTCTTTAATAGGAAATTTGTGCCAGCTGTCAATGATGGTAGCAGTAGGTGGTAGTGTTACGTTTGGGAGATGCTTTGCTGCCTCAGGAGCTGAAGAGTTTGCCATTGTTGAATGAAGGACAAATTTCTGCTTTTTGTGGAATATTTTAGAAGTCTCAGGCCCATTTGCCTTCCCCTGGGAACTTAGGAGGATCAGTCCTAAGTCTCTTGAGTCTGCACAAGGACTCAAGGCTAGATCCCCACTTGATTCCTCCTTCCCTGCCTGGCTGGGAGTTTCCCAACACAAGTAAGTCAGACAAGAAGACTGATCCCAAACTTATAAGGATGTCTATATGACAATGGATGTAGAAGAAGAAACTCAATTTCTGAATCTAAATATCTTTACCCAAATCTCATAGAAATATAGTATGACTTGAGAAGATGAGCACATGCTAGAAAATCCTCAAATGTATTAAGTTGAAACTGTTTTCATTGGAGGGATGGATCAGAATTCCTATACAACAAAATGAGAGAAAGCCGCCTGGGAAAGCCAAGGGAAATCATCAAAACAATTAAAAAACGAAAATTAGAATATTTCGGACATGTGATGCGACACCCAGAAAAATATGGCATATTCCATTTAATCCTCCAGGGAAAGATTGAAGGCAAACGAGGTCCAGGCCGAAGAAGAACATCGTGGCTTCAAAATCTAAGGGATTGGTTTGGACAAAACTCAGCAGCACTTTTTCATGTGGCTGCTGATAAAAACAGGATCGCCAACATGATTGCCAACGTCCGGTAACGGATATGGCACAAGAAGAAGAAGAAGGACTGTTAGTTTTGTCACTAAAAGAGGTGCCACAACTTTCTATGAGCTAAAGTGACAGTTACTTATGCTCCAGGGGGCATGGAACTTTCAGTGACTTAATTTATACATTAAATGAAACAAGCATCAAGAGTTGGTGTTATTTGTTTACTCAGGATTTTTTATATCAGTGGGCCTTATATGAAACTATGTTACTTGACAGTGGCCAAGATCAGCAAATACTTAGAAAATCCAAAATGGAATACTTTTTCATTCAGAAGTGTAACTCTAAAAACTAGTGCTTTTGTTGGTATCTGCCTTTTATAATTTGGATGTCAGTAATTACTTAAAGAAAATTGTTTGTCATATATATACTGTATGTATAATAATATATAGCACAAGTCTTAAGTTAAAAATTAACCTAAGGGTTTTACTGCTTTCCAGTTTTATTTACTAAAACGTTTTTACAATAAGCTGTATTTTTGGTAGCTTGATGATTCCATACAAAAAACAGCAATTTGAAAAGAGGAAAAATAATTTGTGTACAGAAATAATAAATAGTAACTAAGACAGGATTTGTCTTATCTATAAATAGAATTAAAAAAGGTAGGCTGTCATTTCTTAGCAGAAAGTTTTTATAGTTGGTTGAGTTCATAGAAAAAGCCACCTGTTTAACTTCATATGATGGTATTTGGAGGAGAACATATAATTATTTCTTCAGATTCCCGTGATTCAGATATTCCATTAAAGCACTTGCATCTCAAACTAAGGGCTTTAAAAGTCAAAATAGTATATTGAATTGTGTCCAGAAACAAATTAACATCTTATGAAATTCCGTTAGTATAATAAGATCACACTAATGGATGTCAGGATTTGAACTGGTTGAAGTTTATGAAGGCTTAGCCAAGACAGATCCACACATAATAAAAGTTGCTAAGACATAATTCTGAGCAGGTTATCCTTTTCCATGATACAGTTTTGTGTACAGATTTTGCTTAGGAGAATAAGCAGCACTGTTAGAAATGTTAAGATATTTTTTTCTGAACAGCTTCACGGGGGCCACTGCTCCATTATTTTAGACTGAAAGCTAAACATAATAATTGAAAAATAAGCAGAAAGCCAGCCTTACAATGTGATACTCAAGTAACTTCAATCGTGTTTCACATTTTGAATCACTTTGTACTTTTAGTACGGTTTGCTGCTGATGTCTTACTTGTTGAGAACTTTTAAAAGATTTTTGAAGTTGGAAGCAAAGTCAGCTGTGTTTACAAAGTTTTCATCTAATTACGAGCTCTTACCTTTTTTTGTTTGTTTTGATGTTTGTATAAAGAAATACTTTAATTCAAATCTGTTTTCCTTTGCTAAACTAAACCTACCCCCTTTCTGAATCCCAAGACTATTTAGAACCTCACATAGCTGCTATTCATTTAATTCTAAAAGCATCCCATGGGATTCCTAGTTGCAGAAATGTCCACAGATCCGATACTGCCCTTTTTGCCCAGAGACACGTTACTTAGATTGTGAAGTTATTGCTCACAGTAGGTAAGTGAGACATATGCCCGATAACTGCAAAGAATAGGTATGTGTAAATTGGACAAATCAGATTATTAATACTTGGTTCTGAGGAGACCAAGATGGATTGTTATTATAATTAACTTGGTAATTGCAGATTTATAGTATAATAGTATCATTTGACCACAAGCTTTAGGAGTCCAGCCTAAAATAAATCCAGCCTAATAGCTAGAAATAAGAAAGAATCTCCTGTCATCTTGGAGATAAGGACTGTACTAAAGACTTCTTGTCTTTTACCAAAATTATTTTACGTTGATTTATGTTAAATGTGTAAACTACTTTCTTATGTACAATTTGCTGCATTAGCCGCTCACCAAACAAAGTTTTTTTTCCCTCTGTCCCACAAATTGAGTTGGTATTTCTATTCAATTTAAAGAATCGCCATTGTTCTTTCAAGCTTGTTAAAAAGTTGCCTTGACTGCCCTTTGGCTTGTTTTTCAGCGGTCCCTTCTGATATTGAAACTTCAGTGGTTTATAGTTTTCTTTAGGATTCTCTGTGTATATGGATTAAGAAGAATCTACTAATTCAGAAACAGTAAAAAAAATTCCCTATGCCTATGGTAATTCATAATTTTAGGGGCATGAATAAATCATTACAGTGACAATTTTTTTTAAAAAAAACTGTAATACTCTGAAATACATCCACTCAATGGCATAAATGCAACTTTTTTTCCACAGGTTTGTTAAAGTTCTGCACAGTAGGCTTTTGTGGAATTGGTAGTTTGATTGACTTCATTTTGATTTCAATGCAGGTAAGTTCAAAACATCCAGTATAAAGGTCCTTTTTTTTTTAAAGTCTGAGATGCACTTAGACATCTAGCAACAGATTTCAGGCACATTACTAATTATTTTAAAATATGAATAGTTGACTCCCACGTTGCCTTTTTATGTTCCCATCAGTTTTGAAAGCAGCTTGTGACAAGAACTACAGAAGAATGTTACGTTTTATGGTTTTTTGATTTGTTTTTAGATAAGAAAAAGCCTATACAAATTGTGTGCATTTAGACATCTAAACATCAACTTGCCTGTATATCATTATGTTGCTTTCCTATATTGCAAAATTATCAGAGAACCTTTTATATTAAATATATATTCAGAAGAATGTGTAAAAATTGGAAAAACATAAAAATACATTTACTGTATATTTGAATATTTTATTAAATGGATGTTTAATAAGTACATGCATATGCAAACCTCCCTTGTGTAAATGTAAGCAGAAACATTTGCTAGTGCAAAGTTTCTGCTTATTAGAAAGTTAGTTTCTATTGTTGCATACAAGCCAGATCTACTATATTGGTTCCTCTTAGTCAAAGTCTTAAAGGATTTTAAAAAGTTCATTAAACTCCAGTAGTTTTAGTTGCACTCCTAGCAGTTTCATAAGTTGAAATGCATCAGTTCTTATTTTTCTCCCGATGGAATATTTGTGATACACATTTTTATACTTTTTCCTTGGAATTAAATTTGCCCATATTTCGTATGAAAAAGGTACTTGAAATTCCACGTATAACCTCAGAAATTAATTTCCATGTAATTTTTAATATAGCAAAAGGGAAAAATCCAGAGAGCTTTAATGACTGATAATGAACCCGAACCTGGGTTTCTGGTCCTAGATCAGTGGTTCTCAATCTTTTTAATGCCGCGACCCCCAAGCGGTCGTAAGTCGAGGACTACTCAACCAATCATAAGTCGAGGACTACTCAACTGGTGCAGCACCGTTTGCAGAATGGGACTTTTGGCGGGCTCAGCAGGGCAGAGACAGCCTGGACAATTCCTATTGGCTTTTGAAAGCCAATAGAATTAGACTCTATTCAAGAGAGTCTATTCTATTGGCTTTCAAAAGTCAATAGAATAAAAGGGAGTAGCACAGCTAAGGAAAAGGGGGACTGCGTTGTTTGGCGACCCCCGTGAAATGGTCGTTCGACCCCAAATGGGGTCCCGACTCACAGGTTGAGAACCACTGTCCTAGACCAACTTGTTAGTTACAATTCCTTCTTAACTCAAAACTTTGTGGCACTGTGATTCCGCAAAATTATAAGCAAATTGGTGCAACTTCTTCTCAGATAAATTAACAATTTCATAAGAATTAGGTTAGGTAAGAATTAAATATGCCTGTTGTTTTCAATTACCAATATATTTTACAGGTTCTCCTACTTTGTGGAAGCTTACACAGGCGAAGCCAATGTTCTGTCAGAATTCTCTTCTCTCCCACTTTGTTTTTCCAAGCCTTTAACTACTTGGGGAAATGCCTTTTCCCTAAGACACGTACAGGCTATTTGTCTGCTTACGTCGAGGAACATTTCATACGTGTTATGAGTTTTATAGTTGTTTTCTAGTCATATTAAATGCAACATCATGCATATGGAGAAGGTTGCAGAAGATTTCTGTGTGTGGTGTGTATTTTAGAACAGAATTTTTAACGATGTAATACTTTCTTTTCCAGATTGTGGGTCCTTCTGATGGTTCTAACTACATAATAGATTATTATGGTGCAAGGCTTACCAGGCTGAGTATTACCAATGATACATATAGAAAACCTCAAATGTACCCTTAATCTTACCAGTAAGTTCCTTAATCCAAATATCAAAAATGTTGTCTTTGACCAATCAAACCATTTTTGTCAAACACAGATTACTTTATACCAGGGCTAGGGAATAGTTTTATTATTTCATTCCTCTATATCAGTGGTTCTCAACCTTTCTAATGCCGCGACCCCATAATACAGTTCCCCATGTTGTGGTGACCCCCAACCACTTATACATCACCGAGTGCCAGGGGCGTGGCCAAAGAAAAGGGGGGGGGAATGGCAGACAGCCTTGTTTGGCAACCCCCCGTGAAATGGTCGTTCGACCCCAAATGGGGTCCCGACCCACAGGTTGAGAACCACTGTTCTATATAAAGCAGGGGTGGGCAACCATGGCAACTTTATGACCTGCGGACATCAATTCCCAGAATTCTTGAGTCAGCATGACTGGCTCAGGAATTCTGAGAGTTGAAGTCCACAGGTCAAAAAGTTGCCATAGTTGCCCAACCCTGCTTTATATAGAGGGATGAAATAATAAAGCTATTTCCTTTCATTCCTTTCAGTTAGGATTTCTGAAACTCTCTGTAAAAATAACTTAATTGGAAAGAGCTAAGGGATCGATACGATCTTGTTGAATGCTTTTTCAGTGTGGTTCTTGCTGCTTTTTATCAGGATTGGTGGCTCTCTCCACTTATACAGTATACATAGCCATCCTACACCAAGAGATTACTTTTTCAGTGGGGATGAATTTATAATGGGCAATAACATAAAAAGGGCCTAAAAAACAAGAAGATCCGTCCTGTGTAGATATGTGCTCTCTGATAAAATTGATTTTGAAATATATTTTTAACAATTCTGAAAAACATGTTTTATCCTTGTTCAGCATCTGTGAACAAGATGAAATTGTCCATATTTATGAAGAAACGTTTTAAAAATTAGATTTTGAATGTAAGATACAATAGTGACAATTTACAGTGTTTAATTTATATCCCACCTATATTATTTTTATAAACAACTCAAGGCAGAAAAAATACCCAATGCACCTTCCTACTCCTATTTCCCCCACAACAAGCCTATAAGACAGTGTTTCTCAACCTTGATAATTTTAAGGCATGTGGACTTCAACTCCCAGAATTCCACAGCCAGCGTTGCTGGCTGTGGAATTCTGGGAGTTGAAGTCCACATGCCTTAAAATTGTCAGGGTTGAGAAACACTGCTATAAGATAAGTTAGTCTTAGAAAGAGATTGGCCCAAGGTCACCTAGACCGCTTGCATGGCTAAGGCGGGACTAAAAGTCCTGGTCTCCTGATATTTAGCCTGATGCCCATTGTCCCATGTATTCAATCACTGTCTTGGATATAAAATTAAAAACACAAAAATGCTAAAAATTGCTTTCCAGAGACCACAATTAAGAAAACGTCATCCAGTTGATCCTTTTCCTTGTCACTCAAAAAAAAGAAGATATTTTAAATGTTGACAATCACATGCTAGTAGGTTGTACAATCAATTTTACTCTTCCTCCATGCACGAAGTCTCCTTGTTTTTCATTTATACTGTCAAAATAGTGAAACATAGCCAAAGTGTGCACAAAGCATCCAGAACTTGCAGTGTTTCACTCTTTTAATCATGGGATAAAAGATAATATATTCATAAGTTTTATTTTGTGTTTGGTAGCATATTTTTTAATTTATCCAAACCCTGAAAATTTAAATACTATGTTAGCCAGTAAACTCTATTCATGGATCCACCCCTGTTGTCATTGGCCTGAAGTTGAAAAGTAGATAGAGACAAGGGAAAAGTCAATTAAACACGTGTTCAGAAATTAAGAATCATTTTGGAAATAACAAAAAGCTGACTGACTGATAACCTGAGTGCTGCTTTTAAATACTTTGTTCATGGCTGATTGTAATGTCATCATCCCCTTTCTTTGCAAGCTGTGTTTTTCAGAAAAACTGCCAGGTTCAAAAATGTAGATATAGACGGACTGTTAGGCTTTTGAACTGTTGAATTTCCAAATGCAACAATTACTCTACATTTGTTGAAATTTGCTGTCAGCTTGTTAAATACAAGAAAATGTGCTCTGTGTTTGTATTGTACATAAGGACAAAACCTCAGGCAAATATGTAGGGATTCTTTTGTATTTTGGGGAAGTATTTTTCAAATTATTGCTGTCATTCTTTTGCTCCTTTGTGCAAGTCTGGTAGGAAAACAAATTCTTTTACTGTTGCTTCTATTGTCTAGTATGGGAAAAAATTTAAAGTATAATCTTTAAAAAAAATCACTATTTGGGTTAATTTTTCTGGGTCTAGATGAGAAGCAGCACTCAGCACTGAGTATCACATCACCTTTTTTTTTTTTTTTTTACTGTAGGACACCAGGCTTATTTTGAATTCATTTTGCCCCCATATAATACTGAGATTGTAACATTAATTCCCTCCATATCTCTAAAGAATATACTGTATGTATCTTTAATGAACAGTAAGTAGTATAAAGTCATGCTGTCAGCTTTCAGACTAAATAAGGCACTTGTACGAGATACCTAAAGACCTGATGTAATGTTCCAATTGTAGAACATTGTACAACTGCAAGGCAATTGTAACTAAAGTCCTCTTCTATCTATATTGACAAACTTCTCAGATGGTCCTTCTCACTCTTTTATCACATGCAAAAATGACATAGTTTAAGTTCAACATGTAGTCATATTTTCAAAATAAAGTTACCTCTTAACTTACTTTGATAAGGCAACTGTAGTAAATATATTATAACTGCCGGTGTGTATTAAAGGCTTTAAATGTGATAAATATCTTCACCCAGGAACAGAATGTGCACTTAAGTGGTGAAACTCATGAGATATTAATTATAGTTATCTTATTTCAGTAAAGCTCTTCAACCCATTAAGTGTGTACGTAAGCTTTTTGTTACAGTGGGCTGAGGTATTTGTTATATCATTATAGCAGCTACATTTTAAGTAATATTTTTCACGCTATTAATATGAATTGAATTAGCCAGCGCAGTAGAATCTAAAAGCTTAATTCAAAACTTGGGATAGACTGTAACGTTCAGTGGCAATCCAAAAACCCACTGAATGTTACAGTCTATCCCAAATTCTGAAATTTAGACTTAGATTATACTGTGTAAAATCTGTAAAAATAAAACAGAATGACACACTTTCCAAGGCAAACCTGGGCATCCCAGTCTGGGAGTCAGGGAAAGGGGATTGGCAGCATAGGGGCGGTGTTGGCATCGGTAGTGTGGCAGCAGCATTGGGGATAGGTGAGCACAGCCTTCCACATCAGTCCCAAATTGTCATGTGACCCCTTGGGAAAATTAATTGCCCACCCCTGTTCCAGGGGCATTTTTGGTGTAAGGGTTGAAGCTGGGGAGACTCGGATTCTCATGTAAAAGAAAGCGGTAGAAAACATCAAAGTCAGGAAATGATTAGCCACACAAATGTTGGCATGAAAAAGTGAGAGTGTCAACGCTGCTAAAATTGGATGTTTTTTGCTTTGACAACAGATGGAGATGTAGCCATTTTCTTCTTTTCACTTTTAGAGTTAGATGATGCTGGGGAAGGGGGGGGGAATGTGCATGAGAGTTCAGCTAGACATAATAATACTGGACCTAGTGTGAGAATCAAAGTTGTTGAAATAAGAGATGATAAGAATTGGCCAGCTGGAGGGAAAGCCCGTGCTTTAAACTAATAGGGGCATGTGATTTATGACTGTTAATTGGAGGAGAGAATTGTGCTTTGATACTATGTGCTCAAGGGAGGGGGATTCAGTTTTTGGCTTCGATTATGTTAGTGCCGATGTTATGCTTTTCAAATAAAGATTCTTTAAGGTAAACATTGCCTCGAAGGTCTTTGAAGAGTTTCATCTGTCGGAACCATGACAGAGAGTAGAGATCCAAGTTTCAAACATATATAAAAGAAAGGATTCCTCTCTCGTGCTAGATGAAGCTAGGTATGGCTTCCCAATTTTCTGCAGTAAGTTTACTTCTTGAGTCAGCTCTGGAAAAGTGGACTGGAAAGAGAATACCTCACTGTACCTTGACGTTATTGAATAAGGTGACTGCCACATATGCCATTTACATTTTCGATAATTAAACCCGTACATATCTATCTATTCTGTTAATGGATGAAGGTGTTACTGTACTAGAGGATGCCAAATAATGTGGCTGAATCTGCTCATTACTAGTAGCCATATTGGTATTGTAGTTATCTGAGTTGTAGTTTGGAAGACAGTAAGAAACAATGTTTTTCCATACAGTGGATATGCCTGATGTTAATTATGTTCTCTTAGTAAATCAGGCTATATTTGGATTCATAAGCATTTATGGGCAAGGAATAACTGCAGAATGTATTTTAGCAAAACTCTTTAGTTTGATTCCCTCATACTTAGGTCTCCTGTTTTCTATAGGCATATATGTCTAACTATCATCTATTACTTAGAATTTTCATTGTTCAGCTCAGCAGCAACGTCTCTTTTATCCCGCGCTGATCAATAAGACCAAAAGAGTTCTGTTTAAGCCAAATTCACATTCAAGGTTCAGGCTTTAATAGTAGGAAGCAAATAACTGAACTTTTTAAATTTCCAGTTGTGAATTCTGAATGTTTTACTCCTAGGTTTTGCTTCAATGATAACATTACATACAATCCATCTATTTTTTAAAATGTTGTGAGCTATCTATGGATTTCTTACTTATTCTTTATGGGAGGTTATGTAGGCTTAAGTGGTGTGTTTAACAGTTCATTGCATATATTAAAAAAAGAATGTGCCTGCTTGTGGAATCCTTCAGAAAACAAAGAAAATATATAGTAGTTTCAGCAGTTGAATATGAAGCGTCATGTTCCTAAATTGTGTTTGACAGTTCTAGACATCATAATCTATTAATGTAATTGCTGTGTAAATCCTCTTCTGAAGAAATTTGCTTTATCCCTCTTCAGAACTGTACATTTATACAGAGGAGAACTACATTGTTTATAACAATGGACTTATGTTCATTTTCAGCTTCTCCCTCAGACAAAAATAAAAAAATACTTTTATTTGCTTTATGATAAGCAGGGAAAAGGTTTGGCTTTCAGATGGTTGATTTTTAGTATGGTAATTATTCTAGCACAGTCTGCTTATAACCACAGTATATGTTCACGTCTAAGAATTGGAAAAAATATGTTTTTCCTTTGCACAATTCATTATTTTCTACCAGCAGAAGCGCAGCCAAAAAATAATGTGAGTATCCTTCTAATACAGTTTCAGGTTTTGGTCTGTTTTTGTAATGTTGTCTCCTCTGATACCAGTTTTTAAGGAAAACGTGCTCCACTTAAATGTTTCATGTAGACAGCTTTCTCAGTTCTGTTGCCTTCAAACCTTTAACCTGAAAATGTCAGTATCGCTAACCCATGCCTCCTTGCTTAACAGAATAACAGAGTTGGAAGGGACCTTGGATGTCTTCTATTCCAACTCAGACAGGAAACCCTATACCAGACATGTCAAACACAAGGCCTGGGGGCTGGATGCGGCCCGCGAAGTGGTTTCATGTGGCCCGCGAAGCCATCCTGGAAACAGCGAGGGAACAGCCCCCACTGCCTTGGCCCTGGCCCAGGCCGGCTGGGAGCCAATGTACAATTTTGTGGTGGCCATCTATGCTGAAACGCATTCAGTCTTAGCTCCACAAGGCCATCTAGAAACAGCAAGGAACTAGCCCCTGCCACGTTGGCCCCGCCCCCCTGGGTGCATGCTGGGGAGATGTCACACTTTGTGAGGAATGAAGAAATGGACCATGCCTTGGCACTTGCCCCGGTCCCACCCCTTTCTGCCAGAGACCCTCAGATCTGTCCCACTCCTGCCCAGGCCCCCACAAGCACCCTTGATGCGAACGATGTAGAGCTGGCTATACCCACACAGTAGGCCACATCCACTCCATCCACGCCCACCCAGTAGGCTGCACCCACCCTGGCCACACCCACACGGCCCCCCGAGGGCAACCACAATGCTGATGCGGCCCTCAATGAAATTGAGTTTGACATCCCTGCCCTATACCATTTCAGACAAGTGATTCAGACAATCCCTTAAAAACTTCCAGCGTTGGAACATTCATAACTTCTGGAGGCAAGTTGTTCCCCTGATTAATTGTTCTAACTGTCAGGAAATTTCTCCTTAGTTCTAAGTTGCTTCTCTCCTTGATTAGTTTCAGTCCATTGCTTCTTGTCCTGTCTTCAGATACTTTGGAGAATAAGTTGACCCTCCTCTTCTTTGTGGCAACCCCTGAGATATTGGAACACTGCTATCATGTCCCCCTTAGTCCTTCTTTTCATTAAACTGGACATACCCAATTCCTGCAACCATTCTTCACATGTTTTAGCCTCCAGTCCCCTAATCATCTTTGTTGTTCTTCTCGGCACTCTTTCTAGAGTCTCAGCATCTTTTTTACATTGTGGCGACCAAAAATAATCTCTATACTAAGTACAAACATGTCTTTGCTAGTCCTGACAGCTCTACCTTTTATGCATAGGTTAAACAGGAAAAAGGTTTAATATGTTTTTATATTAGTTCTATAGAACTTAGTAAGCTTGTTAGATAGGTTGGTATCAGGAGGTTTCTTTATATAGATTGCTCTGTTAAAGGTAGTGACTTCTTTGTGTCTGGCAGGTATGCAGACACATGGCCTTCTAAGTTCTGCCTTGTAATTGGGGTAAAATAAGTAACATTTAATTAGTGTGTGAACAACTGAAAGCTGAACAAAAGTGCATCATTCAGGAGTATTCCATTCCAGCAGTTAAAGTGAGATTCTACAACTGCTGCATTGTATCTTTGTATCGTTCAAAGAAGGTGGCCTCAAGTATCTAATGTCCCAGTTCACATCTAGCATATCAAGTTTAGGCAGTAGTTTTAAATACTGTGCACCAGTAGAAGAGAATATTAGTGGCTCTGGGTTGAACTGTGGAGTCCTTGGTGCTCTTTGAGCTTGGCTGTTTTGGCTGCACTGATTATGTTACCTAGTTTGATAATGAAATGTCTGCAGAGAGTACTAAGGATCCCACACTGTAGAAATACCTTAGATCAGCAATTCTTAAAGTTTGGGAGTCCCCAAGGCCCTTTTATGGGGTGCACAAAATAAAGTAAATATTTTTTTAATTGTTCAGTTTAATTTCTAATATAGTATATATCAAAAAGCCAGTTTGGTGTAGCAGTTAAGGCATCAGGCTAGAAACTGGGAGATTGTGAGTTCTATTCTGTCATAGGGACAAAGTTGCCAAGGTGGTCTTCGGCCAGTCGCTCTCTCAGCCTGAGGAAAGAGGCAATGGAAAACCATTTCTGAAACCTTGCCAAGAAAACTGCAGGGACCTATCCAGGCAGTCTCCAAGAGTCAAGAGGGACTCAAAAGCACACAGACACACAGATATCGATAGCCGACATAAATCAAAAAGCTCTTTGGGATCCTCAAGCATTTTTAAGAAGGTGAAGGGTTCATGAGACCAAAATGTCTGAGAACCACTGCCTTAGATTATAGACAATGACATAAGGAAGGAAGGAAAACAAATATGTTTATCCAACATAGCTATGGAACTATGAATTTGCCAGCAGTGGGTGGAAATATGTTTGAAGTACGTGGTGACATTGTCGGAAGAAAGTTCCATTGGGTGTCCACTGCATGGTAACTTTTCTGAATACGGAATCTTACAGAGTAAAATAAAGGGGGAAAAAAGTTGAAGACAAACTAACTTTCCTCCTTAGTAATATGGTACCACTGCTTTTCAAGCTCTGTATAACAGTCCTTTATTTTGCTATTGCAAGGGGGAATAAAGCTGTACAATCCTAAACTTTTGGGCTGTGCTCTGTGTACTTGGAGTACTGCATCCAGTTTTGGTCACCACAATGTAAAAAAGATGTTGAGACTCTAGAAAGAGTACAGAGAAGAGCAACAAAGATGATTAGGGGACTGGAGGCTAAAACATATAAGAAACAGTTGCTGGAATTGGGGATGTCTAATTTAATGAAGAGAAGGGCAAAGGGGGACATGATAGCAGTGTTCCAATATCTCAGGGGCTGCCACAAAGAAGAGGGAATCAAGCTATTCTCCAAGGCGCCTGAAGGCAGGACAAGAAGCAACGGGTGGAAACTAATCAAGGAGAGAAGCAACCTAGAACTAAGGAGAAACTTCCTGACAGTTAGAACAATTAACCAATGGAACAAACTGCCTCCAGAAGTGGTAAATGCTCCAATACTGAAAGTTTTTAAGAAGAGACTGGACAGCCATTTGTCTGAAATGGTATAGGGTTTCCTGCCTGAGCAGGGGGTTGGACTAGCTGAGGTCCCTTCCAGCTTTATTATTATTGTTGTTGTTGTTACTTGCCAAGGAGGAAAGCTTTAAATATATTCTCTTGTACTTTGGCTATGCACCCATTTTATGGCTGATCTTTTTTTCCCACCCCAGGAGTTCACTTATTTTATTTGAGTGTGAGAAGATGCCTGCGTATGAAATTATGAAAGAGGACCGTCTTCAGAGGATTGAGAAGTTTCATCAACCCTTGTTGTCAGCTCTTTGTGCACAAAGGAAAAATAGTAGGCTATATTATAATGCGCTCTGCTGATCCTACAAAAGGAGTCAGAGCCTTTGTGCCAACTGTAACCTTATTGAAAAGAAGACAGTGACTTATCTTTTAAATTATTTGATAAATAAAAGCAAAAGATGGACTTTTAATAACGAATGCATCATGACCTAGTGCCCAAAGGACTTTATACAAGTTGTACAAAAACTGAAAACTCTGTGTGGATGTAAAGGGAAAAACAGGAAGAAATTACCTCATCGCTCAACATCCCTTTCCCTACTGCTATTTGAAAAGGAGAAATCACACACCAGAATGTGTTGTTATGCAGATGTACCAGGTTCCAGCTCATTCACTCCTTCCCTCCCTCACATCAAGCACATTCTGTACTTTTGGCAGTAAGTTGATGGGATATTTAGAAGCTGTGAACTGTTCTGAAAGTTTCACATAGTGGGTTATGGGCCATGTGTGTTTGATCAAAATTCAATTACTGCACTGCGCCAGGCTTGGAAACCTATCATTGCGAGTTATGAAGTATGACGAAATAAGCTTCTCTAATTGGTTCAGTATGGGGAGCAGTCTCAACCAAGCTTGTTATGATAAATAGCTTCCTATGTTAAAGGTTCTCCAGAGCTTAAGTGTCTTGGCTCACCTCCTTCAAAAGAATAAGAATATTGTTCCCTAGGAACATTTACATCATTGTCTCTTTTCCCAGGTTGGAGTTAAATATTTGTAGCATTTTTATCTTGCTGTTCTTGAGGAATCTAAACATAAATATATGTCACTTCACCAATTATAAAATACCTTGTGTCCCTGTACCACACTGGTTAGTAGTAATGTCACTTCTGTCAGCTTGGAAAACCTTAGCTGTTGTTTAAAGTCAAATCCACTTTACAAGCCCTTTAAAAAATGATGTTGAAATACTCTGCAACTCCTGCCGCTACTAAAAGTATTCCACACATGGATTCTTTTTAGTAGATTTCTGTTATGGAAATAATCTCTGATTATCCTCTTGTAAGCAAACAGAGGTAGAACTAGAGCAGTCTCAGGCTACTATATACCTGTCTGCATTATGGTGTTTCATGTGCACAGATGCTATTTCACTTTAAGAAAAAGGCATAAAGTATATTATTTTTCTGCTTCTTTGGTTAAGAAACTAGGGGAAAATAAGCCTTGTCGTTCCTTTAGTAATTTGTCTTGTTGAACTCAAATTAGTTATCAGAATAGGTCATTTCTTTTTTCCTGTAGTAATTTAATACACGGTTATAGAGGTTTCGTTTGTTTTATGAGCTTTGATCTCATCATAGTTTGCCTTTATATTTAAATGTCCTCCATAACCTTCTAACAAAAGATGTGTGTAACGCTGAAGTCGGCATTTTCAGCATGTACTACATTTGCTGCAAAATTTCAATTTTATAAACCATTCCCCTTAGTCATCACTTAATCAAGCGATGACTAAGTGCAGCAATACAAAATTAAAGGGAGAAAAACTTGACACAATAAATGTAAAATCTACATCTGGGTAAGATAAGAAACACGTACCCCCCATTGTTTTTCAAAGTAGAATGGGATCAAATGTTTTTAAACAGGTGATAGGAGGAGATACGTAATGGAAAATATCATTAGCTTGGGCAGATGACTGGGGGTTTTTTAGAGCAAAACTCGGAAGAATATTGTATTACATTTCTTAATAATAATTCTGCAAGAAGTAACTTTACCTTTAAAAATAGAATATGATGCCAGGCATTTATGCTCATCTTCCTTCTGGCAAATCAGCTTTTTTTTTGTATTGAATCTCACTTGATTGAATAGCATTGGGGTTGCCAGAGTAAATGCTATTATCAATGTACAGTAATTAAGGAAATAGTCCTTGTCACTCGAACTGCATCCAGGCTGTGCCTGCTGTAATAAAGTTAAATGATAAAGAAATCTCTTTAAATAAAGTGCAACTGCTGGAGCGTGGTTACTCTTGAAATGCAGTGGAACAATGCAGTGGAAAATTACTGGTGATAGGAAAATATGCCCACTGAACACAATGTAAGGTTTCTTAAATATCTTAAGTAGATAACATACATAATCTTCCAATTTAAAGATAAAGATTAAAGATGTTAATCTTTCATGTTCAAAGAGTGACAAGCTTGCCCACACCTAGAGGCAAACAAAGTCATTACTAAAAGCCAACATGGGTTTGTCAAAAATAGATCATGCCAGACAAATCTTATTGCATTCTTTGACCAAGTGACAAAATTAGTGGATCAGAGGAATGCTGTGGACATAATTTACTTGGACTTCAGTAAGGCATTTGATAAAGTAGATCACAACCTACTACTTGACAAGATAGAAAAATGTGGGGTAGACAGAATCACCACCAGATGGATCGGTAGCTGGCTGACCGGCCGTACTCAGCGAGTGGTCCTCAATGGAACTGCATCTATATGGAGGGAAGTGTGTAGTGGGGTGCCCCAGGGCTCTGTTCTGGGCCCAGTACTCTTCAACATCTTCATCAACGATTTGGATGAAGGGATAGATGGGGAACTCATCAAATTTGCAGATGACACCAAGCTGGCAGGAATAGCCAACACTCCAGAAGACAGGCTTCAGGTACAGAAGGATCTGGACAGACTTGAACACTGGGCACTAACTAACAAAATGAAATTCAATGGTGAAAAAAGCAAGGTTCTACATTTAGGCAAGAAAAACCAAATGCACAAGTACAGCATAGGTGGCACCATGCTCAATAGTAGTAACTGTGAGAGGGACCTCGGAGTCCTAGTAGACAATCAGTTAAATATGAGCCAGCAGTGTGCGGCAGCTGCCAAAAAGGCCAACACAGTGCTAGGCTGCATTAACAGAGGGATAGAATCAAGATCACGTGAAGTATTAATACCAATCTTCAATGCCTTGGTAAGGCCACACTTGGAATACTGCATCCAGTTTTGGTCACCACGATGTAAAAAAGATGTTGAGACTCTAGAAAGAGTACAGAGAAGAGCAACAAAGCTGATTAGGGGACTGGAGGCTAAAACATATAAGGAACGGTTGCTAGAATTGGGTATGTCTAGTTTAACGAAGAGAAGGACAAGGGGGGACATGATAGCAGTATTCCAATATCTCAGGGGCTGCCATAAAGAAGAGGGAATTAAGCTATTTTCCAAAGCACCTGAAGGCAGGACAAGAAGCAACGGGTGGAAACTCATCAAGGAGAGAAGCAACCTAGAAATAAGGAGAAACTTCCTGACAGTGAGAACAATTAATCAGTGGAACAGTTTGCCTCCAGAAGCAGTAAATGCTCCAACACTGGAAGTTTTTAAGAAGAGACTGGACAGCCATTTGTCCGAAATGGTGTAGGGTTTCCTGCCCGAGCAGGGGGTTGGACTAGATGACCTCCAAGGTCCCTTCCAACTTTACTATTATTATTATTATTATTATTATTATTATTACATTCACCTTGAATTTGATCTTCAAATGACTAATTAATTGAATTATTAGAATTTAGAAATGTTTTGAAACCTATGTATAAAATGTACAAATTGAGTGTTACGCTTATGGGTTAAGATCCTATACATTGTGTTATAAAGTATCAATACCTTCAATCGTAAGGCCATCTGAGCCTGATATAAACTATGCTGCAAACAATGTTTTCTCCAAGGTTAGGCCTCCCTCGTGAAAAATTTTTTCTTCCAACATTATAACTAGCCATGTCTTAGTGGAATAGATAAATAGCTCATGTGAACAATAGGAAATATCTTTGTACTTGTAAACATAAGCTTCCAGCTTGCAAGTTTTTGAGATGAGGATGGCATTAAGATCTATTCTGAGAGCTGTATCTGGGAAATGTAGATGCCCAGGGAATGAGTAATTCAGGGTAAGGAGTAAGGGGTTTGTTTTGCTAATGGAATACTGCATTATGAAACATTTACAGTAGATGTCATTATAGAAGTGGATTCCAAGATGTGTTTCTTAAAATGTCTATGACTCTTCTGAAATTGTTTAGCTTCTGTAAAAAGAAGAATTGTGGTAGGGAGTCTAGGTTTCTGAGAATGCTGGTTGGGCACCTGGGAGACTATAGAAAAAAGGAGTCTGAATCTCATCTGGCATTAGCCAAATTTTCTACAGACTTTGTTCTGGAAGATACAGCTGCATTCAAGATTTTTTTTTATTTTTTATTTTTTGTGGGATTCTTCATGCTGTGTTTGCCTAAAAGCAAAGGCTGTGGTATTGCAGGTTGCACTGAGATATGCTAAAGGTCAGCTGCCTAACCTTCCAGCTGGGATTTGATACTCTCTCCCTAATGGAATGAATAATCACAATGCCATTCCCTCCCTCTTTGTAGAAAAAAATTGCTGAAGACCTGGTTCAATTCCCTAAACTAAGTTTCATAAATATTTATTATTTATTCCGTTTATGAATGTTATCTGTTTTTTATGAAGTCCAAAATGGATCTTTTCTCTACTGAAGGTTTGATCTTTGAGACCTGTGCTCCTTGGGCAGTCTACACGAGAACATTATGCTCTTGGAAATATGTATTCCTTAATAAATCAAAGTACATGTTTTAAAACAGATTGTAGTAACTCGCTAAATATTGTTCATACTTTATGCTGTGATTAAGGTTAGTGGATTACTAGCATTGGTATGTTCATCTAATGCCATATTGTGGCTTTGACCATTTCCAGAGCATTTTGGCAGCTGAATGTCAGTAATGAATCATGTGCTGACAACTAAGGAGGAGAAAACCTTTCCTTCACTTTGTACTTGCCATGGGCTCAGATGAGCATGAAAATATAATAGCAATAACACTTAGACTTATATATTGACCCGTTGCACTCTCCAAGCAGTTTACAGTGTCAGCATATTGCCCCCAACAACCTGAGTCCTCATTTTACTGACCTCAGAAGGATGGAAGGCTGAATCAACCTTGAGCTGTTCAGGATCGAACTCCTGGCTGTGGGCAGAATTTGCCTGCAATACTACATTCTAACCACAGCGCCACCATAACTCTTAAGACACTGTTGTATTTCCTCTGATCACACATTATTATAATTCTCCTCTTGTGATACAGAATACATGGTAAGAGCAATAGGTTTAATCATGAAAAGTAATATTCAGAGTTTTGTTTATTCCGGTACAAATCCCCACGGGTTTTCATTTTTGTGGTACAGTCATACCAAATTCAGAGCTCTTGACTCCAACTATGAAAACCTTTAAGGACTCTAGCTTTCAAAACAACTCCGTTGATGACTGCAAAGCGTATGTTGTTAAGCACACATTTAGGCTGTGATTTCAATTATGTATTTTCGTAAATGGCATACAGTGCTGTGCGCTGCTATTGAAGCAGGCGTGTGGGTGAGCTTGTGTGTATGGGTGCATAATATGCATGTAGCACAATGCTAACTATTAGAACTGGCGGGGCTGAGGACAGGGTAGCAAAGTTTATATCAGAAGCAAAGGTAGAGCAAGTTAACCTTCAGCCCAAAATAGAGTTGGAGGAATGCCTTTGATCAGCACAACAATACAAAAATAGGCTTACAAGTTGCATTTATAAATGCAAGAGCAAAAGGGCAAAGTGAATCAGGCACTCTGCAAGATCATGACTTAATGAGGTATTATGAAATAACTCTTCAATAATTGGATTAATACAACTCTTAAAGCAGAACACTTCCTTTTCTCAGTCTTGTGCAGAAGTTTGACAAAAAAACAAAAACAAAAAAACAACCCAGGCTGCTTGAATAGTTGCTATACTCACAAAGTACCTCAGAATTGTTTTCAAAGAGTGTCCGGGCCATTGTTCATCCCAAAAGCAGCTAGCCTTGGAAGAGACTGGGTTCACCCAAGGTCAAATCAGGACTGTTTAACCCTTTGACTGTTCATAAGACATAATGAATGAGTTCACACAGCACACTAGGTCCAACAGTTGTACCATATGATAGTTTAGGGTTCTGTGTGGACTGGCAAAAGATAAGCAGAATTTATGAAACTGGCTACAGGAAAAGTGATTTAAGTCTCTTCGTAGCACTGGGACACTGGGATGGGCTTACTATACCTGCAGAAATGAGCCTTAATTTTTAAATTATGTTAATCTGAGAGATGATGCCTGTTCTAGAGTTACAAGATGCACCTATTTGTTATTTCAAGGGCAAAAGAAACACTAATCCAATTAAAAGTGAGGTGATAGCTTTTGGCCTTATTATCTTCAATAAAGATAATTCAGAAAGAAGAATGTTGACCGTCAGCCACAGTAAGTCTTGTTTAGAGTAATGAGTCAACTGTTAGGCTCACTTCCCACCTCACCAACAAAACAAGCACACACACACACATTATTTTTTTTAAGAAAAAAGATGGAGTGAACTTTATGCACCATAGGGTTTCCTTACACAGGCAAGATTCAAGCAGGTTAACTATCAAACTAAAATGATTCATTCCAACTGCTACAGGTTTCCTATAGATTAGATAGCACAAGAAAGATACAAGTAGAAATGCAGTACAAATGGATTGTTTCATTTATTGTTGCTGCACAAATATGCCCTCGCTTCTTGCCAGAGGAATGAGTGATTGGAATTTTAAGAGCAACTTAAGGGAGTAATTTTCTATGAATGTGAAAGCGGAGCCAGAACAAGCATAAGTCTGATGTTCCAGTATTTGTGTGTCTGTATGTCTCTCTGTGTGTAGTCCTAGTCTGCCATAGGGTTACTGACAGAATAATGCAAGAGAAAGATGATTCTGGTAATAATTTTATCATCAGCCTACCATTAGAGGAAAATCAGTTTGATGGGACCATGAAGGCTCCGTGGTAGAATAAGGGTTATTGATACCTACTAACTACGATAGTTTAAGCAATATTGAGTAATTTTCTATGAATGAGTGTGAAAGTGGAGCCAGAACAAGCATAAGCCTGAAATTCAGTGTATCTGTGGGTCTCTTTGTGTGTAGTCTGGGGAAGGAGGACAGGTCACTCTACCC